TCGGCTGACAGCTTTGTAGTGAGGGAGACTTGAAGACATTGTAGTTGCTACTTTTGGGAGTTGGCGTGCTTCAGAGAGAGTCTCGTAATGCCTTTTTTTTTATCATGAAAACATTACGTTTCCATGTGGAGTTAGCATTTTGACAAAGCCTGAATGAAATCTCTTTGTTTCACACCGGAAGACTGGGCCTTTACTCAAACTATGCTTTTTCATTTCATGTTCATTTGCACAGAAAGCACATAAATTGAATGAATTCTACATCCAATCAGCCCCGAAAGACTCTAAATCCGAGCCTGAGCTGCCCTAGTTTGCGCAGCATTTGGGGGAGACAGACTGCCTTGTCTATTTTTGCTTGCCTCTAAAGCCCATTCAATATGTGGAGCGACAGCTATGGGAGATATGCTTACTTGGATCTGATTCACTGACTAGTAATCAGATTAATGTAGCTCTTCAGAGCTAAACTACACAACATTCACCCATTAATGCGGAGTTGGCACTGGCAAGCAGTTTCTGTGATAATGATGCACAAGCCTAGAAAAGAAGCCCTTCCTCTCTCCCCATGTCTCCATCCCTTTCTGCTTTTATTTGTTCTGCCTTTGAGGCTTAATAATGTAGCTGACCGTGTTTTTCTGTTTGTTCTCTTTCACTCAAGGTGCCTTGGCTGTGCGATGTAAAGTCAAGCGATGGCTGAGAATAAAACTAATGGGGACAGAAGAAGTGAGGATGAAGGAAGAGGAAGAGGCGGACTAACTCAATCTTCCTCAAACCCGATTTGTGGACAATCCCCAGGGACCAAGAGGCATCTTCCTCGAGGGATTGTGATCCAGCTCACCGGGACAGAGGGAGAATGGGACAGTCTGGACGACAGTGAGCTCATCTTCTCCCTCGACCACGAAGACGACTACCCCTCCATATCTCTATCCAAAGTAAGGCAGCTTTCTGTCGAGGATGACAGAAAGTTGCATTCCCAAGCTTTCCACGTTCCACTTTCCCCCTCTTCTCCTGGCTCTCTGGGAAACCTCTCCACCACCGGTTCCGGCTTCCTTTCCCCGACCGTTTCCTCTCCCAGCCATAGACCCCTCTTAAAGTCTCTCTCGACGGAGCTGGATATCAAAGAAGGTGCCACTCTCAGACCTAAACCCTTTCTCAGCCTCGTGAAGTCGATATCCACCGAGATCTCCCGCTCAGAGCCGGTGGTGTCGCAGTCAAAATCAGACTCCCGCTTGAACCTCCATCTGTGGAAGCAGCTCACCCAAAAACCAAAAACCCGAAGCAATGGCGACTCTCGCACCGCGCCGCCGTCTCCATGCGCCCACTCCCCAAGTGGAGAGGGGCGAGGGGGTTTCTTCAAAATGGAGTTAGAGGACACCAAGAGGAAACTCTCGGAGGCCGTGCACGAGCCTCTGAGCAGCATGTTCAGTAAGATCATGAGAGAAGATAGCACAAGTAGTCCCAAACACCAGACTAAAAGCCAGGGGGCTCAGCAGGTCAGCTCCAGAAGTTTAGGGCGTGAAGGTAGCACTGACACAAATCTCTCCGAATCTCCTGTGAGGAACACTAAGAGAACAGATGCTGACGTATTGCCGGTGTTTGACTGGCCTTCTGTTAAATCTCCTGGGAGAATCCACCATATTTCCTGCCCTTTGCATCACAACAGACAACATCAAAGGGATGAGGAACTGGAAATATGTACAGATGGAGACGTGATGCAAGTGTTAGCCGTGGAGTCTCATAGGCAGGCGAGGAGATCACCTACCGATGAACCACCCATGGTTAGGACTTCTTCTCTTTCTCAGCCCCATCCTCTTCCACGCATGACTTTGTTCGGCGTTGCATTGCTCTCCTATGGATACTTCATCCTGCCTCTCAGTCCGTACGTCTCTGGCCTGGCTCTGGGATTAGCTTTGGGCTTCTTGCTGGGACTGTTGCTCATTAGGATGGGTTCGCCCAGGTCACGCTGCTCGGATCCTTCGTACAGACCAACACAGACTCTGCTGGGAGAGGAGATCCTGACAGGTGGCAACGTCAGCTCTGAACCTGACACCCTGAAGGTAAATCTGAGGCATTGATGAGTGTTACATTTTTTATTCTCACCTTATACTCAGGCACCTAAGTCTCAATCTAAAACTGACACATTCCTCAGCATGTCTTTTATAGATAACAGACAATCATCATACATTGAATTTCTCATCTTTCTCCCACCTAGCCCTTGTCTCTTAAAAGAATAGTAGGCATTTCGGGAATGATTATTATTTCACTTTCTTGCCAAGGAGATTGATATCACTCTCATGTCTGTCGTTACAGTATGAAGCTACAACCAGTTAGCTTAGCTTACAAAGACTAGGAACGGGGTAAACAACAAACTTTATTCTGTTTTCACATCATGCAGTCAATTTTCTGTTCGGGAATATTTCCTGCATGGATTCATGAGTGAATGGCAGCAGAGATTGATATTAAGGGAAATCTGAGCTGCCAGTTTATTTCAAAACACAAGCACTTCAGGGTTAAGTCTATCTGACGGAAGACGCTTTCACATTGAGCAAGTGAACGAATCACAAGACGGCGCTAAATTGACATATTTGAATCCATGACTTGTTGAATGTTATTGACATTACATAAACTTTGGCACCAGACAAAAATATCTACTCTCCGGTAATGTTTCTGAAAATATGCATTCAGGTACTTCTTGCCTTCTTCTTTTGTTGAGTTTTACAGTGATTGGCCTCCGTAGGTGTTGCATTACTGCGATTACAGAACTACCTTTTCCCCCTTCAATCCAGCATTGCAATGGCATATGTGAAAAGGCACAAGATGGAAATGTTCCTACATGCAGTGTATGTGTTAATAGTGAAAATCACTACCAGTAATTCTATTAATTTACTTAGAACTATGTGTGAAAGATTCTTTTTTGAAAGTGAAGGGATTTAAATAGCTTGTTTACTTCAAATACACTTGCTAAATAACTTGTTTTATTTCCTACCAATTTGTTCAAAAGGAAAGTGTTAAGATGGCGTCACACTTCAACACCTTCGACAGACACAGAGTAAAGCTGGTGAAAGTGGCAGGCAACCAGAAAAGATGCCCAGAATGCAATTAAAACCTTTACTATAAAAACCGGCTGAGCTGCAGTGGTAATTGCTGTTCTCCCCCTGGCTGAGCTTGACCCTGAAGGGGACAGTTAACAACCAGACACTGTCAGATCCAGAGGCAATTAGTGTGGGATCCAGGCGAGAGGAAGCTGTAATTTGTCAGGGCGTGAGGCAGATTGGGGGTGAAGAGTCGTGGTGATGGTTGGAAATGGGAAGTTAAATGTCTCTGTGATGAGATATTTCCCTTGTTTGGTCATTAGCAGTTTGTTTAGTCTGACGGCTGTTGTTGGCATGTGAAAGTCCGAGCCCTAAGGTTTGTGAGGTGTCTGCTTATCAGGCGACAGACTCAGAACTGTCACGGTGTTTGATTGGCACAATTTGAGACAAGGGTAGAGGCTATTTATAAAGGAACTGTTTAGCTATAAACAATACATGGTTTATTAGTTAATTGGAGCATTAAAAGGAAGCTCCTGATGGGATGGTATGACAGAATTCACCTCACATGCAGCGATCCTATATACCGTATTTCAGACTGAAAAAGGTTTTATCTTGAAGCGTCATTTTAATGAACCATTTTAAAGCCCCCAACACACACTAACTATGCTTTTATGTCTGTAAAATGTATGGAGTTTTGTGTAAAGGATTGGAATTTCAGACATTCTTTTTGAAAAATTGATGTTTTGTGCTGAGGTTTAAACAAGAAGATTAAAACCAGACTCATATTTGTACCCTAAGTTTGTACGCTACTCATATTATTTAGCTTAAGGCAGGACAGGAGACAGTTAGCTTAGCTTTGTCTGAAGATCCAAAATACACTTACCAGCATTTCTTCAGCTCATTACCAACAAATCCTAATGTTTATTTGCACAAAAATAAAAATAGTCGTGTCTGCATGATTGCCAGAGTTTGTTAAAAGCAAGAGAAGACATATTGCCCGGAAGGCTGAAACAAAAACATATTTTTATCACAAATTCTCTCTAGCTCTATGGATGAATACTCCTCTAATGCCTCTCTTCTAATTTGTTTACTTTAAAAATAGCAATGTTGAAATCCCCAGGGATGATTTACCATATTTGAAAATGTGGACATAAAAAAAGATACGTTTACAGTCAGATTTGCTGTATACTTCATTTTTAGGCTGACTACAATCATCACAACATGGCTTCTTCAAGATTGGTTCAATTCCAAAGTGTTTGTTTATTACTCACTTGAAATCTCTGCATGGTGTTGATTATAATTAACACCTATTTCCTGCCTTTGTAGGGCTGGATGAACGAAATACCCGATTACGACGCAGAAACCTTCCATCCAGCTCTGACTCATTCTGTGTTTTCCTCCCTGGAGGGCTCCTCTCTCCGTCTGGACTCTCCGCGAAACAACATCAGCCGCAGGGCCGCGTACGATGAGAGGGTCCAGGAGGCCGCCTTCGTCAAGTCACGCTCCTTCCAGCTCGCAAAAAGCAAAGTATGATAATAATAATAACAATAAAGCATTATTTATATAGCACTTTTCATACAACTCATGCAGCTCAAAGTGCTTTACAAAATGACACATCACAAGTTAAAAACAAACAAGAAATTGCCCTCAGATTATTTGTTAAGAACTTTAAAAGGTACATGCAGCAAAATATAACATTCTATCAGGTTAATAGACACAAGGAGGTCAAATGTATGATAATACAAATAAAATAAATAATGGTTTCTCTCTGACAGATAAGACAACTGAGTCGATGCAACAATATAAAATCCCATAAAACAAAGTGAGCATATAGGTACAACAGAAATAAAAAGATTAAGACCTATAAAATAAATAAAACAATTTAAAGGTAGGTAAAGTGACAAAGTTACTGTGTTATAGGAACATTTGTTTTGTATCCGACGTTGGTTTTTCCCCAAATGAGATATAAAAAGTGCAGTGAAAACCTTGTATTGTTTGGTATTATGATGATGTTCTGTTATGTAGGTCAGGACTAAAGTAGAGTCAGTCTAACTTTATGTAACATTCACCCAATTAATGCATGCATAAGATTTTGACTAATTAATGCTTGGATGTTGGAGTGGTTTTAAGTGCTGGAAATAGCTTGTAAGGCCTGAGAGAAAATAAGTGAATAAGTAAAAAATAATGCATGTATCTGCCCCTGCGATTTGCATCCCCCTCCTAAATGTAATGGGTTCGTCTTTGGCCAATGCTTCACCCTCCAACCAAGTTTCACGAAAATCAGGCCAGTAGTTTCTCCGTAAACCTGCTGAAAGACCAACAAACTAAACTCTTTTGCAGAGGTCATAAGGTTAGGCAAGAAACAGTCAAATGTACTTCTGATTCGTTGATTAACTAGAGTGTATTAATAATTCAAAAATGGGATATCTGAGTGCATTGCCCGTTTAACAGATGTTGTGGTGGCTCAATTTCCGACTAAATTGAGTCGCCAAGACGCTAAACTTGGCTTTAGACTGTGACGCGTTTACAACAAGAAAGTCCATACTGAAGTTGAAAGGTTAAGGATGTTAAATAAACTAAATGAAACACACGATAACTAAGGTAAGCTCACCCTCCATCATCCCACCCCCAGCATGCAACAGGTGACTTAAATACCAAAAAAACACAACCATGCGACAATTGCCGGTAGTGCTCAACAAATACAAATGTAAACAAATATTAAACTCAGGCTCAAAAGCTTGTTGTCTCATACAGTATGTCTTTGCTTTGACACAACAAATCTCTGCCACTGATCCTCAAAGGTATTCCTGCTGCCATCTGTTCTGGCTCGGAAGAGGATGTGGAACCCAAAGTATCCCATCTGCATCCAACTGGCCGCCGGAGCGAACTCCCAGGAGGACGAGGGAGGAAAGTGGGAGGAGAGTCGGGAAGAGGGACCAGAACCTGGAAGTCCTCCACAAAGATCCATTCCCAGGACCCTTTACCTCTTCGGACGTACAGGAAGAGAGAAAGAAGAGTGGTTTCGTCACTTCCTGCTAGCGTCCACGGATCCAGAGAGGGAAAAGGAGAGAGAGCCCGGCAGATGTGAGTCCAGATCGGGTATGAGAAAATAATGCATTAGATAAGAGATGGCTTCCAGATAAGGCATCTATACAAATGCTTTATATGTGTGGATTATGGATTACATGCTCCAATTCTTTGCATTTTAAACCCAATCCCTTTTGAGGGAAGATAAATATCTGTGAGTTATTGTTGACATGACAGGGCAAAGGTATCAAGAACAACTTTTATTTTTTGATTTTTGTATTTTGATGAAAAATGACTAAAAGGGGAATATATCATTTAGTGATTTAAAAGAATAGTTTTAAATTCTGGGAACTATTATTGTGCAAAGCGTCAGATGAGATGATCTAATCTAATGTCTGTCATTTTTCTCGTTTTGAGTAGAAGCTGGATTAGTTTACATTAGCTTAGCATTAATACTGGAAATACGGGGAGGCAGCTAGCCTGGGTCGGAACATTTTGTATAATTTCCACAGCACACATTTTTCATCGGAAATATTGTTTTGATAAAATCTTAAACTGTCAAATTAAAAGCCTATGAAAGAAAAACGTTAAGACTGATGCGAAATGTAGCTTTGAATTCTTTAGTGAAAAAGGGAAACTGGAACGCCTCACTAGACTTGTCGTACCGATACAATTATATGTTCTTTGTGAATGATAACCAAAAGGTAATTACTTCTAAATGCTGCCAAAAGATATTGAAGTGACTGTTATTTTGTATATATTGATTGTTTTCAAAAAAATATATTTGTATTTTTGTATTCGGGATTGTGGGAAACGGTATTTCGATCTCTCTGTCTGTACACACAAACTGAAAGATTGACAATAAAGTTGACTTTTGACTTTGACTGTACTCTCCCAGGTGACCCAGTGTTGGCACACAGTGTTTCTGCCCAAGGTAACGTCCCGAGCAGCAGAGGCCCGAGCAGAATAGGCAGCAGTGATGAAGACGCCACCTTCATCCCTCCAGCACCCAGCCTCCCTGGCAGTCAGACCTCCAGCAGCACCAGGGGCCTTTCCCTGCTCGACTACCAGGGATACATGTCCCGTCTCCTGGCCACGGAGGAGCTCACCCCCCTCTCCAGTCCTGGAGCCAGCAGCAGTGCAGAACCGAGCCCCACCACCATCAAAGGGAATGTAAGCAGTCATGCTAGCAGATACGATTAAGTGAAGCAAATGGAGTGAAGCTGTGGGGACATTCCTGAGCTGGACAGTGGACATGTTATATTACATCTGCAGAGAGTAAAGTGACACAGAAAAATACAAATGACCAGTATACAAATGCATTTTCCTACTAAACCTGCACTTTTCTAAGCTCTCACTCAGGTGTCTTTTCTTGCAGTGTACCTGTGATTTAGCAGAGCATCCTGGGACGAGCCAGACTGCGTGGGCCAACGCTCTAATTGGTCGAATCTTCTGGGACTTCCTGCGAGAGAAGCACTGGGCCGACGTGGTTTCCTGCAAGATCCAGAAGAAGCTGAGCAAAATCAGAGTGAGAGCGGTTTTATTTAAAGCTAATGTGGCAATTACATTTAAGGGCATATAGGATCAGTATTTACGTTTTAACATTTCAATTACCCATGTTTGGACAGGTAAATAGGTAGTTAAATACCTCTTTAGATGAAAGAGATAGCCTGACTGATAATTCACTTTTCTAAAATGGTAAACAATAATAGCAATAGAAAACAAAAGAAAAAGGCATGCAAACATATTTTTTATAAAAAGACAAATAATGCAAATGCAAATTAAAAAGAGATATAAATACTTGTAAAAATATAACTAATGTATTAATGAAACGATAACTGATTTCTTGTTTTACTATTAGATAAAGTAGAGAACATTATCGATACCACACTTTATTCTAAATGTATAGGTTCAATTGTTACACTTATACCCCGAGTTAATAATATGATGAATTTTAATATTATGATATTATTCATCCTTTACAGCTGCCTTACTTTATGAATGAGTTGACTCTGACTGAGCTGGATATGGGCAGCTCTATGCCGCAAATCACCGCTACCTCCAGACCAGAAGTCAACCACAGAGGTGAGTGCAAACAGCATACAAATACTTAATATGCAAACACACAAATGCAGGAGATGAGTGAGGATGTGACCTGTTGCTCGTGTGATTACAGCTCAGCAGAGCATCAGATCAGACGCTCTTATCCTGTTGTAATCTCACGGAACAGGAGAGCCATTACGCCATGACCTTCAGCATTTAGAGCATATTGGCTTGTGGATGCATGCGTGTTTGTGTGTGTGTGTGTGTGTGTGTGTGTGTGTGTGTGTGTGTGTGTGTGTGTGTGTGTGTGTGTTCAAATCAGGCAAACTGGCAGTCAACATTCCCAATGATGAGTGGAAAGTGTGTCAGCATGCGATTGTGCGACCTCTTGATTTTTGTCTCTCCGCTCCAATTCACTGTTACACAATCACCCTCCAACAAATTATCCGCTCCCAAAGGGGATTTTAGATCCGTTGTAATTTGTTGTAAATTTAATTTCAGTGCCCGATAATCACTGTACAAGCCGTTTAATCTGCCCAGCTGTGTGTGTGTGTCCAGATCCAGCTGTGTGTGTGTGTTTTGCCTTGATTTTGGTGGTCTTGTGATGAACTCTTCTCACTGTTGCCCCTGCAGGTCTGTGGGTGGAACTGCAGCTGGTTTACACTGGCGCCCTGCAGATGACCCTGCAGACCAAGTTCAACCTGTCCAAGCTGGGGAAAGAGGGCGGTCATGATGCAGACTGTACGACAGAAACTCGTAGCCCATGGTCAGCATTATAAACACTACAAAAACACAGAAACATTCATTCTTGTTTTCACTACATTAGAGGACAATATATTGACTTGCATTCATTTTTCTGGGGACGTACCCTATACTTCTACCTGCCTTTGCCAAATGAAATTTTACTTAAACCTCAATTTACCTTTATATAAACCTAAGTCTTTACCATACATTTTATAATTTAGGTTGAGGAGAGTCCTCATAAGGTGAGTATGTAAACAGAGTAATGTCCCCACAACATTTGTTAAACAAGCCCAACCACATGATGGCTGTTCGAACTTTCCTCTTTTATATGCTTTTCTAAATACTTAAGAAACAGATTTGTAGCGTGAGATTACTGTGTGTTTCCTACTTATTGTAAATCTATTTTTATGGAAAAAATGTTGGCTCTTGGCTTCCATTGTGTCAATGTCACTTTTTAATGTAAAAAAAAAGGTTGATGCTTCAATGCATACCACAATTTTGTCCTCCAACCACCCGTTACTAACTTTTCTGTCTTCCCGTGCATCCTCCCAGCTGCAGGCCAATCTTCAGCGTGTTGGCGGACAGCGATGAGGAGTCCTCCAGCGCTGGGTCCTCTGATGAGGAAGAGCTGCTCCTATCAGAGCCTCAGGGCCCAGTGGGAGACAAGGGATCCACACCAGCTACTGATGGGTAACTGCTAACATATAAAGTAGTGATTTATGAAAGAAATACTGCCAATGTGTTATGATTGAGAGCAGAGCAAGATGGACCCAAATGCAGGACAAATACCTTTAATTCCAGGTTAACAGCAGACCAGTCAAAACTAAAATAAGAAAACTCTCCAACACACAGAAAACTGACCACTTCCACCAAAGACAAACAAGGATCTGACAACAACTGATAGAAAACCAGAACTTAAATGCACGCAAGACTAATCACAAGGACAAGACACAGCTGGGGAGGGAAGGAAAAACAGAAGGGCACCAGGTGAACCGAATCAAACAGGAGGGAAAACACAGAGACAGGAAGTAAAAACAGACATTTTGAAGACTTTTCAAAATTAAACAGGAAACTGGTGTGACAGATCGTGACAACATGTGTTTGTTTATATGTTTCCTCGGTACAGAAGGTTGTATACTACAATGATAAGTGCTAATATGACTTTAAAGATATGTTTACGTTAATTAAAAGAACATTTGACATGTACCATGAACTGCTATTTCTGTGTGTTATAATTATAAGACATTTTACATAAACAGCCAATTAAAAATGGAGCACTTTCAGATGGCAACACCTCTAAGTGTTACTTCTACCCTTCTGTGTTTTGAATGCTAATTTTTCTAAAGCAGAAAATAAACTGCGCTGACATCACACTCCAGATGGCTGCTTTCTATTACAGTTACATTTCAGACTCTCATTTCTCCTCATATTTTGACTTACACTAAATCTCCTCTTCTCTCCTCTCTTTTAATCCTATCTTCACAGGACAGGGGGCGGAAAGACTGGGAGGAAGATTTTGAGATTTGTGGACAAAATCGCTAAATCCAAGTATTTCCAGAAGGCGACGGAGAACGAGTTCATAAAGAAGAAGTTTGAGGAGATGTCCAACACGCCTCTGCTGCTCACTGTGGAGGTTCAGGAGCTGTCGGGCACTCTGGTCGTCAACATCCCACCGCCCCCTACAGACAGGATATGGTAAAAACTGAGGTTTTAAAGCATTATAGAGAGGCGAAGTCCCGCCCATCTACTTCAACCTGGTCTCACCAGAATGCGTGACTCCACCACGACTCCTTAACACCGCATTGCGTGGTGGAGTCACGAACTTTGCTACATTTACGTGTCTGCACCACGCAAACAACCCCAATGTAAAGTGAATGAGGCTCCTTTGTCGTGGTGCACACACGCATTTCTACAACGTCCAGCAGTGAGCTTTTATTCTATAAAACGTTTTTAAAATCTACTTTATAGCTTGTAGTAACTCACAGGAGGCTTCTTTTATTTTATTTGTATTCATAATAATTTTTATTTTTCGTCAGAATGTATTATGGTGCATTATTCACCAATGTTTGTTCTCAAAAAACAATGCATTGTGTGTAATACAACTGTGATTTTTATTAAATTAGTTCGTTTTTAAGGAAGGCCAGAGCTTCAGCTGTGTCAAAGAGATTGTTCCCTTTAGTTAACGTTATTTAAAAGATAATTATATTCCTATTTGATTAAGTCCCCTTTATTGTATTACGGACCCAAAGAGCTGAGCGTCCATTCCCATTGGATAACAGAGCATTTTACACCCGGAAGTAAGTATTCTCCTTACTGTCCATTGATTTTATTTACAGTGATATCTGCACTACTCATCAACTCAAAAACACCAGATTATCCTTGTTAATTACACAACATTGATTGGTTTAAATTGTGTACAATGCTTTTGTATTTTCCCCTTTCGATTCGGAGAAACAAATATTTGTTCGGAGTGTGTGGATGGCAGAAGGCACTACACTACCCAGAATCCTCAGCTAGGGGACTACACCATGTGCTTAGAACGTGTCCTACCCAAGCCCCCAGGAAGTGCGCCGGACTCTGATGAAAATATTCGTGCTGGCCAAACGGCGGTACTACACTTCCTTTTGGTTGCCAGGCCCGGAAACACTTTTTCCCATTGACTTACATGGGGAAAGAGTGGTCTGTAAATCGTTGGATAATTTTTTTTAAACTAAATAAACTACCCAGTATGAACACTTGTATAGCCCTTATTAAAAACATTCGTTCCTCAAGTTGTAAAAATGTGCTAATAACGTTATTCTGAGAGTTATTTCCCTCTGCATTATGAACGCGCATCTAACCCACGGGACCGCGCCGCCCGGCACGTTCATGTTACGTGTTCAGCACTAGTACATGCGTTTATCTTTACCCATGGATGTACAATAAGAACGGACCCATATCGCCTTACTGCCAGCCCACGGAGCTGTAATAATGGATATATTGCACATGTTTGCTGTAATTCATCATTTGTAAAATATTATACTGGCTGTATGATTAAATCTTGTACCGTAAATGTTGTATTAAATAAAGTTAATATTACCGATGTAGATTAACGTCACTGTAGCTTCTTATTGCACTAAGAAGCTTATTGCACTGTATATATATACATATATATATATACAGTGCAATAATTCTTTCATGCTAAATGAAGCTCTGTTGCTTGGATATCACTAGATCCTGTTACAGCGTAATATAAAAGTACATAACGATTGATGTGTAAATTAGCATAATTACTAGCTAACCGCTAGCTGCTAACTGCTGCCTCGTTAATATCAAATCTATCATAACAAACATTACCATGCTGTCATGAACGTGCGGTGCTGTTACGTGTACGCAAATTGACGTGCTTGATGTGAACGAGCATTTTGGGGGGCATGGTTAAAGTTGCGCATGCGCTATGAGCGCACATACGGGTACTTCTCAGGCATGCCGGGTAATCTGTGACGTTTCGCTCTCTCAAAAGTTGGGCCATTTTATCATCATGCGCGAATGAGCAACTCTCATAGGAATGAATGAGGCCCCGCCTCCCATGCTGTATCCAGTTCTTATTATACATCCATGGTCCTACCCCCCCCTTAGGTCACAGGCTCCTCCAACAGTGCAACACAATAAAACAGATAGGCTACACAGAACAAATAGTGCAAGTAAATACAAAAAGAAAAATAGTAAAAAGTGAAATAGTGCAATAAGAGTCTATATACAAGTGATTGGAATATGATATATTAGATAAATAATTTCTAAGTAGCAGCCAGATGAATGTTATGGATGTTGTTTCTAAGTTCAGGTGTTTAATAGTCTTATGGCCTGTGGGATGAAACTGTCCCTGAGTCTGGTGGTTTTAGTCCGGATGCTGCGGTACCGCCTGCCAGACGGCAGCAGACAGAACAGTTTGTGGGGTGATGGGGGTCTTTTATAATCCTGAGGGCTTTCTTTAAGGTTAACCTGGTATTTTTACTCCACTACATTTATTTGAGTTACTTTACAGATTTGGATTAATGATGTGAAATATAAACAACCCTTAAATCAGACTTTAGTTACACCTGAGTAAAATTCAGTGAATTCAGCCAACAATCAGGCGAGATATTTGGTAGTGGGTGCTTGAGAAGACTAAATATGTATCTGCAGATCCCTAAAGCATATTCATTACTCGTTATTCTCTACTAATAGTTAATTAAAAACTGTATATAATGGCTATTTTGCACATCCCTTTCAAGATTTCAAGATTTTCTAAGGTTTATTGACATATCATATACACAACTACGGTGTAGTTATGCAATGAATGAAACACTTGGGTCACAGGTTCATCAACAGTGCATCACAAGACATCTATCGATATCTGTGTACCTCCACCATTAAACATATTCTGCACATTTCTTATACTATCTACATACATCTTATAAGAGTATAATTAATATGTATAATATCAGTTAAAATAAGTGCTTCAACATAGTTAACATTGAAGGAAAGTTGATTGTCAAGTTCCAAAACAAACCATGCAATATATTAGACGTTAAGTACTTTGTCAGGCTTAATATCTGTAGATACCCCCAAAGCTTTTTTCTTATTTAAAAGAAGACCTTAACCTAAAGTATTCTTTAATGTTTAAATAAAGCCTTATAAGTTTGTCTGTTTTGCACATCCTCCTATCAGGCACTAAACTGTTTTATTGTAGAGATCACTTACAGTATCTTCTTGATATTTTCTATTCTATATTATTTATATCATTGACCTTCCACTTTCCCACTATATTAAGAGTATGTACTCTTAATATTTAAATGTTTTCATCAAATATAACACATTCAAAAGTGCTTTACAAAAATGAAAGACATTAAGAAAAAGGCATTTTAAAACAGTCAATAAAAAGCAACCCAATCTACCTGCATTGCATTACTCTAAACGTGTAATAACGTGCTTTAACCAGTAGGAGGTGCGGGTTAAAAAGCTGTCAAGTTTACAGTGTTAACAAAATAAAATATACTGCTGTTTCTGGTTTAGTTTACGACGGATATATTCTGTTATTGTTTTGATATTTGTAACACAAAAGCGATGTAAAAAACCCACAGCAACACAGAAAAGATGGTCTTAACATGACCCAGCGGTCTAGTAGTTAATAAAAAACAATAATATCAAAACAAATTATTACTACTAACTTTATTGTGAAATTAAAATAGAACGGTAAAAGAATAGTTTCCGGTCCATTCTGAGGCCCGATCTCTGTAGATAAATAAAGAACTACGACAGATGTGTAATGTTTAATGCAGCCAAACCATTCATTACAATGCATTCATGTGATGACTTTCAAAGAGTAAAGCAAGCACTGCTGAATAAAGTATGATTTGATCTTTGGGAGAGAAAGATTATCTTTCGATCCCGTTTGAATTGTGCCACGAATTACACATATGATATTTGTCAATCTTAAAAAATAATTTCCATGTCAAAAAAGTCACAGTTTGTCGTAAAACTGTTGAAATATAAGACTAATACGCAACTAGAAAGACTACAAATCCCAGAATCCCGGACCCGCATGCTGGCTCTTACGGAACCGACTAACTCCCCTTGTGTGTATGTACAGCTCTCAACATGCCCAGACTTGGAGTGATTTTCACCTCTTTTAATACTTTCCGCCTCATTCTGAAAGAAAGAAGTGAAATGTGCCAACGTGACGGCCGTCTTGGTGTGTGGTGCGAGACGGGAGATGTAGTTCATTGAGCGGTTTCACACAAAAAAAAGTGTTACTTCACAGTTTTACGACACATTTTTATTTTTTTTACTTGCAAAATCATCTTTTAAATTGACAAACATCATATGTGTAATTCGTGGCACAATTCAAACGGGATCAAAAGATAATCTTTCTCTCCCCATTGACTTCAATACATACCTTTTCCAAAATAAGGTCCCATGGAGGTCCCCCGGAAAGGGAGATTTCACACACGAAATGCAGCAGGTTTTTTTCTAATCAGAAGACGATTTATTGTTGATTGAGATGCAGCCGGGTAGCAATAACAACGCACTTGAACTTTATAGCGCGCACTGTGCACCGGATTGTATAACAATAACAGATGCAGAGTTAACAGAGATTAAACAGATTAAAACGGAATAGGCCTGCATGAATAATCATAGGTTTCTAACAGTGACAATTTACACATTTTACACAATTGCAAATTTTTGTGAATTCGGCTGTGCGATATGCTAGAAAAGCGATAAATGAACGTATTTATTTATTTTATTTAAGTGAACACAGAGCAACCATCCGAAAATATTAATAACGAGTAGTGATGTGTCGGTCGCGAACGAGCCGGCTCAAAGAGCCGGCTCTTTTAAGTGAACGACGGGAGCCGGCTCGCGCCCGCGAACAAGCCGTTTTTTTGTTTTTGTTATTTTTTGTTAAGTAATACAAGACAGAATGATATGATGATCTCCGCGCTACAGCTGCTCCGTGCATGCATGCAGTGGCATGTAATATCCAAGGATTAGAGACTGTTGGATGCTGCTGTTTTGAGCATTGCAATACATTTATTTGTATTATGTTTTTTTATGATTAGAGACGGTTGGATACTGCTGTACTGAGCATTGCAATATATTTATTTTCACTATGTTATTTATTTATGATTATCCTTGGGCTCAGCAAAGATTTGATGTCAGCTGTTGCTGTCTTTTTTTCTATAGTTAATACTGAAATAGAGCCCTGCTGTTTTGTCAGGGCCTTTTCTTTAAATATAATTTTAAAATGTCGATACAGTAGCCCCTTTTTTTTAAATGTCTATGCTTACGTTTTTATAGGTGTTGCTATCTGCTTTGTGTAGCGTGGTTCTACAAGCAAGTCTGTGCATTCATTGGGTGGTATCAGAGAGATAAAAGGGTCTGTAAATGCAATGAAAACAATTGGCCACATGCAGCAAATAATTGATATTATACATGTAATTTTTACTTTTGAATACTTCAGTACAAAGGATGTATTGAATAATTTAAGTGATATGTGTACACATATAAATCATTAGTCAAAACAGGGCTACATTTGATTGAATTATAAAAGGTATAATATGTGGTAAACTGAAGAGCCGTTTGGGAGCCGAAAGAGCCGGCTCTTCTTGGTGAGCCGAGCCAAATGATCCGGCTCACCTAGAAGAGCCGGAATTCCCATCACTAATAACGAGTAACTCTGAACTTCTCTCTCACTCTCTCTGACTCTCTTCGCGCGCACACAGCATAGGCTACAGAACACCGAAGGTGGTCTTGCGCTCAGGGGTGGTGGAAATAAGTCACAGTCTGTGCAGTCATTTGTTCCTTAGCAACAGCTTGTGAGAGCAGCGCATTAATTGGTGTTCGTTTTAATGCTGCCAGTTTGTGGACGGCCTCCGTGTGTTAATGGAACTTCTCATGCTCCCTACATTTTCCCCCTGCCTTTCGCAGTTGTTAAACCCTCCTTTGTAACAAAAAACGTTGGGCGCGAAAAATCACAGTTGAGGAGGTTGAATTGACCAGCAGTAATAGTAGTCTACTACTTATTAATGATATTTTCTATATATCAACCATTTAAAAAACAACCATGTTTTATAGACTGCTTACACTAAAATGCAGCGACGTGCAGTCAGTGGAGGCAGGGGAGGCAGAGCCTCACCTGTCATACTCCAATGTAACGGAAAAACAACTAAAGAAAAACGAAATAGTAATAATAATAAAATGTCTCCAATGATCTGTGTTGTAAGTGTGATTTATGTATGATTCTAATCGCTTTTTATAGTCAAAATCAGCAATTTTGCCGAGCTCCGCTACGGGAGCGATGACAAGTGAGGCAGGGACGTGCTCTGCCTCTCGTAAGCCCACAGTAACTTGCTGGAGCACGGGCACTAATTTAGCGCGGGCACTTATTTTGTGAGCGCGCTCAAGCCAGTTACTGTGGGGTAGGTGAGGCACAGATGAGATCTGCCTCACCTCAGAATGCGTCACCCCACAGAAACTGTCTGGAAAGCGGGCCCTAAGCGCATGCCTGTTACCATCTCACTGTAGGTCACCAATGTAATGTATGTAGATCCCTTTATTATATTTATCCTCGCCATCCATAGTCTCTAAATAACTTATTTCACGTATATATGATATTTAGGCTCCCTGGTCTCAACGGCAATGAAAATGCACCAGGGGAGGCAGCCATAACCTCTGCCGCACTGAAGGGGGCGCACGTGAGCCCACAGGTTCTTGTTGCTACTGTGACGGTAGACGTAACAACAAACTAGACTTTTGAAACTACAGGAAGATAAGGAGGACTTTTACAAAAAAGTAATAGAGATTGTTGTCCAGAAGGATAGCATGGACTTCATCTTCAAGTCAAGGTAAGACCACATTTGTAATGAAAATGGGATCTTACTAAGAAAGAACAATCCAATATTTAGATTTTGGGTATCCTTTTGTTGAACGGTCTGTTTAAAATGAATCGAAGCATCAGACTAAAAAAGCTTTTGAAAATAACCGAATATTTCGATTAAGGTCAAAATATAATATTTGTAAATCTGACTCAGTGAGTCAGTGCCTCACCAGCCATGAACCTCACCGCACGTCACTGTTAAAATGCTAACTCAAAATAAAACTTTTTTATTGATTTGTTTCGTGAACTTTTTGGCGTTGCATTTACAACTCTCCGCCAACAGATGGGGGTGCGCGTCCCTCCTACACAATCAACTGTGCAACTTTTATCCTGGCTTGACACCTTATAAAGCGCACAAATGTAGAATTATTTTGACTATATTTACGAACTGGCAGCACATAATGACACCACATGATCTATGCTTTTTGTTTCATACGATCCATCCATGTTACTTTTGTGGCAATAAGATGTAATAACCCCTTATTATAACAGAAACATTAAAAACACTTAACACTTAAACACTTAAAAACTGGGCAAATTTGAGTTGAGGACAACTGGAAAGTGTTAGGCATGTACTTTACTATGTCTTATTTTCCTTACATCAATTGTACTCCAATGTACCAATTACTGCTTGTGATGAACGCTCTACAACTGCTAGTTCAAGAACAAATCGGTTAATGTTCAGCAACACGTTTCCTTCGTGCCTGCTGGATGTGTGACTCACTTTTCACACCTCATCTCCTGCCAAAAGAACATTTATTTATTCCACTAAGTCTGTTTTAAGCGCTGCAACAGCATGACTCTTATCCTCCACTAAACACTCTGCGTTATATTGACGTGTGCATTACATGAAAGTAAATATTTTTTGATATCTGTGTGTCCTTCCTCATACTCCACTCTGTTGACCTACCTATTACAATTCTGCACAAAACTATCACTTTGAAACGGCACAGCTCTTTCACTTTTGGATTCAGATTTACTCTTAATATTGCTTAATAGTCATTTGTCATGTACTTATTGTATTTCCTTATTCATTGTTTACTATATTTATTTTTCATATGCTTTTCTCCTACTGTCTTTATTTATGCACCTTTATCCAACAAAGCAAATTCCATGTGAAACCTACTATGTTATAAACCAATATCTGATTCTAATGAGACTGAAATGTTGCTAAAAAACATAAATTATTTTATCAACACTGTTATTTTTTCCTCTGTAGGTACAGCTTCTGCGTTCCCCCCAAACTGGACCTGCGCGTCCGTCCCAAACTCGGGGAGAGGGAGGTGACTTTCTGTCATGTGACCGAGTGGATTGAAAAGAAACTGCAGGATGAGTTCCAGGTAACAAAATGCTACAGTACATATTAAAGGTCACCTATTATGCAAAATCCACTTTTTCATGTCTTCTATACATAAAGAGATTCTGAAAGTTTCAGGAAAAAAGATTCTCTCACTTTTTGTCCTGATCCATTTCTATAAAAACCTGTCTGAAAATGAGCTGATCAGATTTTGGCCACTTTATGATGTCATAACGTTTTTTTGGCTTGTGTAACCATTAGCCAATCACCAACCAAGGTAACCCCCCCCCCCCCACCTATAATATATTGATGAAAAACTGTATAATAGGGGACCTTTAATGCTTTAACTTTCTCAGCTTTGTCTCACAACTATGTATTTTTATTCCTCCAGAAAGTGTTTGTGATGCCAAATATGGACGACATATACATACCCCTGATGCATTCTGGGACGGTCAGCCCTCGAGCCTCTCAGTCCCAGCGCTCCCACTGCTCCTCCACAGAGTCCATCGAGAGGATCCCCCCCGAGATCTCAGAGTCTGACTAGTGCCTCGTGTTGATGATCACATATAAGGAGCATTGTGGGTAATATTCAGAGTTTAAAGATTAAAACCTGCTGTTGGTAAAAAATATGGTCACATTTGCTGAGACTGTCACTTAATTAAAAAGTCATGTTCCTTTAAAGTCATTCATTTGCCAGAAGAAAGTTGGACAAGTGTTAAATATACAAGAAGAAGACAGATAGTCAGATAATATTACCAATATTTTACTTCATACATTTATGACCCTAATTTTCAAACTTTTAAATGTATTTCTTGAATATTACCCCCCTTGCGGTCTTTACCCTGCAAATTGGATCCCTATATTATAAGTGGAAACAGGGGAGAAGCAGAGAAAAGGAGAACATAAAGTAACATTTGGCTCTAAAGGTTTTATAAGCTCTCAAATCGATTTATGCTTTGAGTTTTTTTAAGGTCGGATGTTTAGCGCTGCAGGTGTTTGGGTGGCTAATGGAGAATCTGGGGTTTGTTTGTTCAGATTCCTGTGCAAACAAAGAACTACAAGTGATACCTTTTACAAACGTTTACATGTAAATGATCCCTATGAGATTATGTAAATATCTGTACTTTTTTGCTGCTTTGATGTTTACAGCTTAATGTAATTTTGGATATAAATGATGGACTTTATTAAATAAAACCTAAGTAAAACATTTGCCATTTTGTATCTCCTCCATGACACAGCTAATGAGAAATGTTTATGAGACAAGAAACACATGACATTTCCTCATTAGATGATTATGGTAAGAAACGCTCATGAAATAAATAAAAATAAATAAATCAATGATGCAGAAGTAAAGCTGGAAAGCAATGATCCCAACTAGGGATGGGTATCGAGAACCGGTACTAAGTCAGTACCGGTACCTGATTGGACAGTATTGGTATTGGTTAAGCCGCTGGACAAACGGTGCTGCTATTCTTAGTTGAAACAATTCTGGTTGGTTGGGAACCCTCATCCCGTGTGACGTATCCGGCTTGATTACCACTCTGATTGGCCACTGTGAATGCCACTCGTCATCTCTCCTAACAGCGCTTATTGACTCCCGGGGGCAGACCATAGCAGGGGCAGACGCAACGTCTAGCTAGAAACAGCGTCTCAAGGCTTCTTAACATTTAACAACCTATTAATGATGCATACCCATTTAACGAGAAGAAACTCAGCTAACAGACGATATTAACAATTCTACCTACACGGAACAGAAGTCCAACACCAAGAGTCTAAATCCACACTTAGCAAAACGGGCTAACGGGGCTAACGGCTACTTTAGCACATAACTGGCAAAAGCGATATTTTCTACGTCATTTTTAAACGGTTTAAGTTGCCGTTTACACGAGGACAAAACGGCTTGTATCTGCATAGTTTCTCTTACGTATAGCCCTATTATTTACACGAGGCCGTAACAAACGGACCCCACAAACGATAACGGGTCCCAAGGTGGATAGATTTGCAAACGAAACTCTCTGGGGGGTCAAACGAGTCAGTGTAATCGCCTCTATACGAATATTTCCTGAAAAAATAACGATAGCCCCACCTCTCCCCGCCTCTGCTGCTCACTGCTGTAGCATGGCCAGTAGCTACTGTCAGTAGCTACTGCTAGTACTGCTACTGACCATGCTACAGATGTTAGTACAACATCTACAGCTCGACCATGCTACAGATGTTAGTGCAAAATCTACAGCTCCTCTACCACAACCATCAGCAACAAGTGGACATGGAGAATTACATGAACTACATGTTGCTAAATCCACCGCGGGGCATAAACAGAAGGGTAGCCATGGCAACATTGCTCCGGGCCATGCTCCGGGCTGCTCCGGGGTCTTCTTCGCTGCTTTTGGTGAATTTGTGGCGGAAGTTACAGCGCCACTTACAGTCCCGGCATATGTACTACAGCGTTTCCAGCGGTCTCGTTTGAACAGACACGTTAAATGAAACGAATGCATGTGAACGAAAAACTTTTTGGAAAGCGCATACTGTGCATAAACGCAAACGTTCCCGTGTGCATATGGCCTAAAAGAGGCTCTGAGAGACTCTGGGAGATCCCCAAACCAGTTTTATGGATATGACTATGTGACTTTGTGTGTGTGTGTGTGTGTGTGCGCGCGTGTGTGTGTGTGTGTGTGCGTGTGTGTGTGTGTGTGATTCAGTTCCCAGCAACCTTCAGGAAGAAGCATGATACTTTTGTAATCTTGCAGGAATGTAGGCAGTTTATTATATCACACTGTGCACTGCCATCACTATCAGAAGTGACCAGAATTATTCCCACTGTTTTAAAGAAGAATAACAAGACATTATTTTATTATTTTACAAGAGGAAATTAAATATATTCAATTTATATGTATATTTAATTTATGTTTGGTGCAAAGAAACAATATCTGAGGTCCATAATCACAGGAAATACAATATCTACAGTCATTGTCTTAATTGGAAAGCAAAACAAGTACCTCAATAATGCATCAAGTACAATACTGGAGTAAATTAATTTAGATATAATCTGACATTGTTTTTATGGAAATAAAGTTATGTGAATGCTGGATTAAGGTGTACTCTGCTGCCCTCTTATGTTTGCTTGTAGACTCGACATTGTATATATTCATAACAGAAGTTCAACAGTTGAATGTCCTTTAATTGTGACTTATTTTTCACATACTATTTTGGTTATGTTTTTTGTTTTCTTTGTATTGTTTCTGTTCTGATTTGATGTAAAGCATCTTTGAGCATTAGGAAAAGCGCTATAAAAATCCCATGTATTATTATTATAACTATACTAGTTTTAAATAATAAATGCAATAAATGGATTATAATGGTTAGCCGAACGGAGCTTCCGGTTTAGGAGATGCTCACGCAGCGTCTCATTTTAACTGAATAATGGTCATACATGGTTTACATGGATTTATGAACTGCCCCTAATTACCGCCCCCCTTCCAGAGACACACTGTCAAACACACTCATACCTTATTGAAAAGTATTGATAACAGTATCGAAAAATACCGGTATCGATAAGCAGTATCGGTATCGGTACCAATAAAATCCTAACGATACCATCCCTAATCCCAACAGAACATGGTCAGAAAAGAACATGTACCGAATGCAAAATCCGGATGCCTAAAATGAAATCACATGAGGAAGACGTGTGATAATGTGTGGGAGTGTGTGTGCACTGTGCACATGTCGCTCTGTAAGACTCTGTGGAGTTATTTGCAGGCACAAAAACAAGCCGAGTGTGTGTGTGATTTTCAGTTTAGGAAGATATTACTCACTCCTACATCTCAAAATGTTGTTTTGCTGCTCTATTAATTCTTATAATCCCATATAAAGGACATTTTAAAGGGGACCTATCATGCAAAATGCACTTTTGTACGTCTTTTATACATGAATATGTGTCCCCGGTGTTCCAGGGAACTCACCAAGTGTCAGAAAACACAACCCTCTCTATTTTCCTCCATACCCAAATCTCTAAAAAAGGGGCTGCAACGGATCTGATAAAAACTGATCCAGATTTGAACACTGTCCTGACGTCAGGACAGTGGCGCTACGGCTATTGGGCCAACTCCACCAATCAGGAGGAGACAGCCACGGCCATTGCCGTTCGAAAGCGCTGGAGACGCTGTAGTACATATGCCAGGCCTGTAGGTGGTGCTGTTCTCACAGAATCAGCCCTTGCAAAAACAGAGCTAAAAAATGTCAAATTGAGCGAAATGAGGCATGGCTAAAATGCATGATCTGTTTGGTATTTTGAAAAAAAAAAAGTATAAATATGCCTTATATAGGTATGGTCCTACACTATATTATTATAATATAGCATGATAGGTCCACTTTAAGTAGTTGAATAAAAAAAGTGTATAACAGTTCTGAGCAAGCCTCCTTAATCAGGTTTAATAGTAATAATAATAATAATACATGGGATTTTCATAGCGCAAAAGAAAACAAAAAACTTAACCAAAACAGTATGTGAACAATAAGTCACAATTAAAGGACATTCAACTGTTGAACTTCTGTTATGAATATATACAATGTCGAGTCTACAAGCAAACATAAGAGGGCAGCAGAGTACATCTTAATCCAGCATTCACATTACTTTATTTCCATAAAAACAATGTCAGATTATATCTAAATTAATTTACTCCAGTATTGTACTTGGTGCATTATTGAGGTACTTGTTTTGCTTTCCAATTAAGACAATGACTGTAGATATTTTATTTCCTGTGATTATGGACCTCAGATATTGTTTCTTTGCACCAAACAAATTAAATATACATTCAAATTGAATATATTAAATTTCCCCTTGTAAAATAATAAAATAATGTCTTGTTATTCTTCTTTAAAACAGTGGGAATAATTCTGGTCACTTCTGATAGTGATGGCAGTGCACAGTGTGATATAATAAACTGCCTACATTCCTGCAAGATTACAAAAATGTCATGCTTCTTCCTGAAGGTTGCTGGGAACTGCATCACACACACACACACACACACGGTTTGGGGATCTCCCAGAATCTCTGCCTTTTTTCCCATCAACAGCACGTGTATGACTTGGTTTTCACCTCAGGCTTCCTTATGCCTATCTGTAAACACAATAAAGCCATTCTTCACTCCAAATCTTTCTTGTGCACATTAAGCATCTTTTGAGTAACGTCTCTCCTGATTAGTTACATTTGGATGTCTGACTCTCTTCAGACCTGACGTTCAGCATACAAGTGGACACGATTGTAAAGCATGCTCTCTACGATTTGTGAATATTTAAAAAGTAAGATCATTCCCTCTTCAAGGTTAATTGAGATGTTTAAATTCCCCATTTCTTTCTCATCTGCATTATTGTATAACACTCTTTACATGTCTGGTAAAACATTTAATTTACATACAATTTAGATAAATAGACATATTAGTACAAATAAGTATTTGCTTTTTTATGTGTTGACTCGTTTTCACCAATGTTTCGTATTTTTATTGTTGCTTGTGTTATCTGGAGTTGACTCAAACATTGGTGAAGCACCTTTAAAAAAACACATCAGATCAATAAAGCTCATTTTCGTTTTTATTATAACTTATGGCCATTAACCCTGATGAATTAGGGTGGAAATACACACTCTTGTTTCATACAGTACAAGGCCATCAGTATACATATTCATGCAATAAACAACAAAACAGAAATTAATCAAGAACTTGATAGGAACCTTAAAATACAGTATAAGATAGTCAAATATAACAAAGTAAACATTGTTAAATGAATTGTGAAGTTTTTGCTGTGAATTAATTTATTAAAGTAAATAGTGGTAAAAGTGCTTAATAGTTTAATGATTGACTTATCTTTTCTATCATGAATAGTTCCTAACCGTAAACAAACTTAAAGAATGATACTTAAAACAGTTGAATGTAAATATTTAACTTGCATTTCCTGGAAAAGTAGTTTCAAAGCTAAAGAAAATAATAAAAGTTCAATACATTTTCTTCATCTCCTTTAAAATGCTTCACTGAAGCTACATTATTATTAATATGATTGTTGTACCAAGTGATATTTCCAAACCTCACGTGAAATTTCTTGGCATCCTCTTATGCTATTACGCACGTTTTAAATCTTTAGTATGGCAAACATGTTGAACAATATTGCACAACTGACTGACAGAACCTGTTATGGTGAACATGTTACATGCACACTGAATAAATCTAAGGAATGTGACTCCCTAGTGGCGGTGGATGGTCTACGGCAGACTCTGGAGCCGGGTCCTGTTGGCCAGAGCTGCCTTTCGGGTCAGGATCTCCTCTGTTTTGGGTCGAGGAGGCACCTGGGGAACGACTGATGATGACCTAGAAACATTGGAGCTTGCAGTTTCAGACCTCTCGTCGCTGGTATCGGAGCCACGTCGGTCTAAGAGGCTGAGATCAATGTTGCTGTCGCTTTGCTGAGGCAATGCCAAAGGACTTCCTATGTCTGTTAAGTTGGATGTGGATTCGAAGTCGGAGAAGCTGGTATCGGTGCTCGTGCTGCGCGTGCTTCGTGCTCGGGCTTCTTCTGCATCTCTCTCCATCTGCGTCCGGGTCTCGGAGAGGACGTCCAGGGACCGGGCCTTGTGGAGACGCCCTCTGAACTGAGCTGCAGAATCACTTCGCAGACCGGTGATATCGCTGGATCGACGTAAAGCCGGAGCCTCCCTGCTGGAGGCCAGGTTCAGGGTGGAGCTGTGCAGCTTCCTCTGCAGGCTGTAGAGGCCGGCCCGAGGGTTGCTATAGGGCTGAAGGTTCATGGAGGGGGTGTAACCTGCCTTGCCATTGAAACTGGAGAGGATTACAAAAGAAAGATAATTGATTACAACTTTTGCAAACTATAATAACATCCTGATCAAGTTGAGAGAACTTATTTAGCATTTATTTATCAAATTGCACAAAACCCCATTTCTAACTCTTTACATAGACAATAGTAGGTTTGTGATGAGTTTGCTTGAAAAGACAATAAAAGAGCATTCATAAGTGCTTCAACCAGCCTTTTTTAAATGTGCTCCGTGTTCCTATTCTCTATTGTTTGCAGTGCAGACAGATAAGATTCCATACCTGACGAGCCACCAGCCGTCGTTAGACTTCCTCAGCACCTCCATAACGGAGCCGATGGGCACAGACACCTCGTCGTGCTTCTTCGTTGTGTAACTCCTCACGGCACAGTACAGGTCACCTAGAGGTCACAAAGAAGATAACAAGATCAGAAATGTTGCAGTACAGTTAAAGACTAGAAGAGAATAGATGCATGTTAGCTTCCATTGGTCAAAGAGCACTCCCCAGTGGTGATTCTTTATTCAAACTTGGCATCATATTATAAAATATGTGCACCTGGCATGAATTTATTGACACAGCAATGTCAGAGCAATGTCAGGCTTGGATGGAATTTTAAGAAGCACTGTAGATACACTTGTCATTAAATGAATGGTAAATGTGTTCATTGTATCTATAAAATGTAAGGCAAGGCAAGGCAAGTTGATTGATATAGCACCTTTCAACACAAGGCATTTCAAGGTGCTTTACAAAAATTAAAGAAATTCAGACAAAGGCATTTAAAAACAGTCGTTAAAAAGAAAAAAGATAATAAAAGAAACATTAAAAGAAAAAATACATGAATAAAAAGTTACAGTGCAGTTTAAGATATGAATAGTTCACACAGAATTTCCATTTTACTGATGCCTTTCTTTAAGGTTTCTCCGAACATGAGCCGTGTACGCTTGTATGGCACATACGTCCCGAGCAGCATACACAGAGAAAACCAGCCAGGACAAAGTCCCCAGACACTGATTCCCTGGGGTTACTAGCCCCAAATGTTCATTAACCAAAAACGAAACACAACCGCTCAGTTTCAATTAAAAGCAGCGGCAAAAAGATAAGTCTTCAGCCTGGATTTAAAAGTAGTAAGAGTTGCAGTGGACCTGCAGGTTTCTGGGAGTTTGTTCCAGATATTTGGAGCATAATAACTGAACGCTGCTTTACCATGTTTAGTTCTGACTCTGGGGACAGTAGATAAAAGCATGGACAAGTTTTTCCAAATCCTGCTGTGACATTAGTCTTTTAATCCTAGATATGTTCTTTAGGTGATAGTAGGCTGATTTAGTAATTGTTTTAATGTGTATAAGATCCATAAATGTAAAATAGCTTAAGTTACCCGAATTGTCTGCTAAGTTGGATGTGGATTCGAAGTCGGAGAAGCTGGTATCGGTGCTCGTGTTGCTCATGCTTCGTGCTCGGGCTTCTTCTGCATCTCTCTCCATCTGCGTCCGGGTCTCGGAGAGGACGTCCAGGGACCGGGCCTTGTGGAGACTCCCTCTGAACTGAGCTGCAGAATTACTTCGCAGACCGGTGTCATCGCTGGATCGACGTAAAGCCGGAGCCTCCCTGCTGGAGGCCAGGTTCAGGGTGGAGCTGTGCAGCTTCCTCTGCAGGCTGTAGAGGCCGGCCCGAGGGTTGCTATAGGGCTGAAGGTTCATGGAGGGGGGTGTAACCTGCCTTGCCATTGAATCTGGAGAGGATTACAAAAGAAAGATAATTGATTACAACTTTTGCAAACTATAATAACATCCTGATCAAGTTGAGAGAACTTATTTAGCATTTATTTATCAAATTGCACAAAACCCCATTTTTAACTCTTGACATAGACAATAGTAGGTTTGTGATGCGTTTGCTTGAAAAGACAATAAAAGAGCATTCATAAGTGCTTCAACCAGCCTTTTTTAAATGTGCTCCGTGTTCTTATTCTCTATTGTTTGCAGTGCAGACAGATAAGATTCCATACCTGACGAGCCACCAGCCGTCGTCAGACTTCCTCAGCACCTCCACCACGGAGCCGATGGGCACAGACACCTCATCGTGCCTCTTCGTTGTGTAACTCCTCACGGCACAGTACAGCTCAACTAGAGGTCACAAAGAAGATAACAAGATCAGAAATGTTGCAGTACAGTTAAAGACTAGAAGAGAATAGATGTATGTTAGCTTCCATTGGTCAAAGAGCACTCGCCAGTGGTGATTCTTTATTAAAACTTGGCATCACATTATAAACTAGAGAATGCAATTCCTGAAGAAATTGCTAGTGGGAATGCTGAAGAAAGTGAAGAATTTAGATTGAAATGATACTGTACATGAACACTGGGGGCTTGAATGTGTGATGAGAAGAAAAGAAAGTAAAAAGGCTTGGAAAAGCAGCAGAATATTTGAAATGCAAACTTTTGAACTAACTTGATGGCGAATGATCTGTCGCCATGCCAACGGCATTTGATGACATCCCATAATACGCTTAGATGCGTTGATGGCTGTGTTACCAAACCTGTGAAGTTTTGGGCCATTTGGAGCATTTTCACTCAAGTTATGAGAAAACCGTGTTTCATGGCGGGCATTGTGTTGCCATGGCAACGGCATGTCCCGTAGATGTCTTCACGGCTGGACTGTTAGCACACATGTGAAGTTTGAGCACTTTTTGAACATTTTCATAGGAGTTATAGCGACATCATGTTTTATGGCGAGGGATGCGTTTCCATGGAAACGGCATATGGTGAGATCTCAGATTTGGCGTAGAGCTGTTGAGGCATGGACCGGTGATATACAAGTGAAGATTGGGGGACGATCGGACCGTGTCCATTGGACTTACAGCGACATTGTGCTTCATGGAGTGGTCTGTCGCCATGGCAACGGCATTTGAAGAAATCTCAAAACTGTCCCGTAGATGTCTTCACGGCTGGACTGTTAGCACACATGTGAAGTTTTAGCACTTTGACAATTTTCATAGGAGTTAGAGCAATATCGTGTTTTATTGCAAGGGATGTGTTGCCATGGCAACAGCTTTTGAGTAAAACTCACTAATGGTATATAGACATGTTGAGGGCTGGACCATTAACTGTCATCTGAAGTCTGGTGGTGTTTGGATCATTTGCATAGGTATCACGACAACATCGTGTTTTATGGCGAGGGATGCGTTTCCATGGAAACAGCCTATGGTGAGATCTCAGATTTGGCATAGAGCTGTTGAGGCATGGACCGGTGATATACAAGCGAAGTTTGGGGACGATCGGACAGTGTCTATTGGAGTTACAGCGACATCGTGTTTCATGGCGAGCATTGTGTTGCCATGGCAACGGCATTTGAAGAAATCTCAAAACTGTCTCGTAGATGTCTTCACGGCTGGACTGTTAGCACACATGTGAATTTTGAGCACTTTTTGAACATTTTCATAGGAGTTAAAAGGGACATCGTGTTTTATGGCGAAGGAAGGGGTTTCCATGGAAACGGCATATGGTGAGATTTCAGATTTGGCGTAGAGCTGTTGAGGCATGGACCGGTGTGGGAGGGAGAGAGAGAGAGAGAGAGAAATGAACAGTTAGAACTGACTGCTGTCAGTTGGAGTGATGACATCATCGTGTTCCATTACACAGGTGTTTATAGTTGAGCTAACGAGCTATGAAGAGATCAAAGGTTTGCATTGTTCTGAATGACAGATAAACCTCTTACATGTGAACGTTTTGTGGAAGAACAAAAACAGATATCTGTGAAATTTCAAAACGTGAAGCATGTCAAGGAAGTTGAGTATCTGAAGTGTAATTTTTGTGTACTTTCTGGCAGTTTAACTAAAAGGTGTGCGGCTCCTGCTGTGAGGAAATATCAGCCTGAAATTACAATGGGTTTTAATGGAGACATGTTGAACGTTTTTGTCACTTCATGCCCTCAAGAGGCATTTTGTTTAATTATTTGTCAAGCTCCGAGATGTTATCCTATGTTTGTCATGAAAAATGATGTCTCAAGAATGTAGGGTTTGGTAATTATATCAAGATTTCCTACCTTCTAGCTGTGACATCACGCACTCTGCCTTAACGAGCTGCGCAATGTTAAAGTTAAAATGTTAAAAATGGGATGAATTATGGGATGTATCTCTGGAATTATGAAAGTTATGAATGATAAAAGTAATAGCCATCGATTCCCGACCGAGCTGAACGTTTTGATGTTTGAACGGAGTTTCTGCGATGTTGAATGTGGGAGGAGAAGACGGACAAAATAACTGGATGGAAATAAACTTTTTGTCCGTAGCATAACATATAGCTGTATCAGCATTCCCACTAAAATATGTCCACCTGGCATGAATTTATTGGCACAGCAATGTCAGAGCAATGTCAGGCTTGGATGGAATTTTAAGAAGCACTGTAGATACACTTGTCATTAAATGAATGGTAAATGTGTTCATTGTATCTATAAAATGTAAGGCAAGGCCATGCAAGGCAAGGCAATTTATATGGCACCTTTCAACACAAGGCATTTCAAGGTGCTTTACAAAAATTAAAGACATTCAGACAAAGGCATTTAAAAACAGTCGTTAAAAAAAGATAATAAAAGAAACATTAAAAGAAAAAGTACATGAATAAAAAGTTACAGTGCAGTTTAAGATATGAATAGTTCACACAGAATTTCCATTTGACTGATGCCTTTCTTTAAGGTTTCTCTGAACGCTTGTATGGCACATACGTCCCGAGCAGCATACACAGAGAAAACCAGCCAGGACAAAGTCCCCAGACACTGATTCCCTGGGGTTACTAGCCCCAAATGTTCATTAACCAAAAACGAAACACAACCGCTCAGTTTCAATTAAAAGCAGCGGCAAAAAGATAAGTCTTCAGCCTGAATTTAAAAGTAGTAAGAGTTGCAGTTCTGGGAGTTTGTTCCAGATATTTGGAGCATAATAACTGAACGCTGCTTTACCATGTTTAGTTCTGACTCTGGGGACAGTACAGTAGATAAAAGCATGGACAAGTTTTTCCAAATCCTGCTGTGACATTAGTCTTTTAATCCTAGAAATGTTCTTTAGGTGATAGTAGGCTGATTTAGTAATTGTTTTAATGTGTAAGATACATGAATGTAAAATAGCTTAAGTTACCCAAATTGTTAAACTTTGTAATGCTCAAAGTGATTAAACTGTCAAATTGGATGAAGAAATCATTAAACAAGAATAATGTACACTTTTTGTTCTTAGAATAGGATTTCATGAAGTTTATTTTAAGCATTTTAGTGTTCTAATTTTATTTCAATTTGCATTACTGTACTGTATGTACATTTCAATGTTTTTCCATAAAGAAGTTATGTGTACTTGCTCAATGAGGTCATTTCTGCATATTATAATTTGACTGAAAATGACACATACCTGCATGCTGGAATACATTGTCTTCCTCATCCTCTCCGTCCAATAACTGCAGGTAGGGAGCAGGAAACCAAGCCAAACCCTTTGAGTCGTTCTCAACCAGCCACCAACCTGGAGAGGAAATAAAACAACCGTTAAGCATGACAGAAATACAGAAAGAGCAGCTCAAGTTTGTTTTGCTGATTTCCAGTAACCATCTACATGAAAGCTGAGGCACTGACCTGCAGGATCTTTGATCAGCACGTCCAGCGTCTCGTCCACAGCGACCTTAAACGGACGATTCTTGGTATCCTTTGTCTCGTAGGCGGCCACGCAGGAGTAAGTCTGGGTGACAAACGGGTGAGTGACGCTGCCTCTAGGCTGGTGAGAAACTTCTCCTCCTCCACAATCCGACATCAGGATCATGATGCTGTGTGAGAGAGAAATCAGTCATTTAATAATCAAGAACTCATTTAAACTCTCTTGTCATTTGATCTGAAACTCTGGTGTGAGAACTGACCTGTTCTTGGTGAAGTCTGGCAGCAGGTCGTGATCTTTGGGCATGAAGAACTGAGTCACCTCTGGGGTCCGTGTCACACTTTGATCGCACTTCAGAAGTTTCTCGCAGTAGCTCTCCAGGAACTTCATGCGTTGGATGGAGCGCTTGGATCCTTTCTTCTGGCTGCTCTTCCTGGCCTGTCCTGCAGAGAGGAACATTTTTCAAAATTATTACCGGACTGTAAAGAGAGCAGAGTCTAGTCCAAACTGTAAATGTGTTCACTGATTCATGAAGGACACAGTCATAGGGAAGGGAAATGCCCAAAGATTATTACCAAACTGGCTGAGAAATAAGGTGAATTACTATATTTATACAGCATTTTTCTTGGAAAGTACAAAATGTAATATCCATCTAATTGCTTCAAACTAAGTTAAAACTGAAAAACAGAAGACAATACTAAATGTTTGCAGTGTTATTAAACTCTTGTAGTTGGCTTTTCCTCAAATTATCTGCTGCAAATGCACAATTTCTGTGTAAGGAGACCATTAAAATAGACCTTTTCTAACATACATTTGAACTATTCTTACCTCTAAATTTGGGGATCACTCTGTCCTTTTTCTTGAAAATGTTCATGATAGAGAATCTCTTCTTCAGCTGCATCTGTTTGAAAGAAAAAAAAACATTTATTAGTTCTACAAAATAAACACTAATCTAAGAACATGTGTGATTTCTTTAGTTTTTGGGGACTTACATGGCATTTCCTGAACTCCTGGAAGGACCTGTAAATGATCACTTCAGTGTTGTCCGACCACAACACAGAAGTCATGAACATCTGTGGAGAAATACAAATAATGAAGGATGAGGGATGACATTTTTTACACAAATACAGAAAATCACACAGTTAAATCTTCAGTTAAATCACACCTGTTGTGTTAACTCACCTTGAGTTTAGGTGTGTCCCTGTGCACAGCTCCAATAATGTGAGCACTGATTACAACGCGTTGATCCCCAGCCATTGTGTGAAGTGTGTGTCTCAGCTCTGTGGATGAATAGCAGCTTTATGGTCTGCAGGTGAGCTGTTTCTTCTGTTGGATCACAGAGTCTGCAGCAGTACATATACCCTGCTAATAATGGAGGCGGAGTCAGAGGAAGACACACCTGAGGCAGGGAGAAAAAGGATTGTGACGATCCCTGCCTTGTTATCTCTTGGGTGTGTGTGTGTGTGTTCCTTTAAGGTTCTCCCTTTGGTCTATCAGCTGGGATTGAGGACACCTGGCGGCCGGTACCAGAGGGTTAAAGGGCCTGAGTGAGACCCGCAACCTCTCTCCCCGCAGAGGACCTGATCTGGGAGCAGCCACGTCGCTTAGTTTTCTTTGCTTTGTTTTTGGTTTATTTTAAGTTTTTGTTAATAAATATATTTTTCATATATGTTCTCGTCCTTCCCACGCTTTTTGTTATGGCCAAGAGCCAGGCCATGACAGATGGGGGGCTCGTCCACTTCTTTTATCTGTGATACAGCAACGGATAGGTAAGATTTGTGTTGGGAGTTGGTGCCCGTGTATAAAGTTTGTTGGGAGCGCGTTTGCAGTGCGGCCGGTTTCTGTGTTTCGGCTCGTTGTGGGAAGGACATTAGATTTCAGATCGTTGTTTGGGGACTGATTTGATTACTTTGTGAGGCTTTGATTTGTTTGGTATTATATTTCGGGAGAGTGGTTGCAAGTTGTTCTTAGCCGTGGTCAGCTGTTTGTTTTGTTTTTTTCCTTTCTTTCTCGTGTGGGTTTGTTGGTGCATTGCATGTGGAGCAGTGCGGAGCGGTGCGGAGTTTTCCCTGGCAGGTTAAGCGGCGGTTCCCTTGGGATTGTTGAGCGGGGTGCGTAGTGTTGCGGAGAAAGTGGTTGAAGCTTCGACTTGGGAGCATGGCCGTGGTCTCAGTAGTGTTGCTAGCTTGCTAGTAGCTTTGATGGGCCAGCGGTCTCCAGTGCATAAATACCCACCACAAGTAACTGCATGAAGACTATAGGAGATTAGTCAGTGGGATGGTGACATTAGTGTTGTTCCACTTTGGACGCGTGGTGGTATCTGTCCGGTTTGTTTGTCTTTTTCTTTTTCTTTTCTTTTTTCTTTTTCTCTCTCTTCTCTCGGCGTCAAGGTCCAGTGCTGTGTTCCGGTGAGGGGTCGTTGTAAGTTAATATGGCTGACGTAGAGGCATTTATTGAAGCTCCGTCTCAGGAGTCTCTCGGCACGTTTTCAAGAGAGCAGCTGCTCTTAATTGCTGAGCATTTCTCTGTGTCTATTGTCGGTGATAGAAGGGTGAAAGACAACAAAGACTCTATTGTCGACATTAAGGGAGACAGGAGTTTTTGCTACAAAGAAAGAGGGGGTTTTGTTAAAACCTCTTTTTCAGGCTAGTGCACTTTCTTTTTAACAGCAGAGGGAAATGTTGTTGTTGCAGCAGGAACATGACAGGGTAAAGTACGAACATGACAGAGTATAGTGTGAACATGACCGGGAACATGACAAAATTAAGTATGAGTTGGGAATTGAAAAGGAAATCACAGTGCGGATGCGACAAGAATCTGAGAAAGCTAAGAGAGTTGGAGGGACATCGTCTGTCTATTCTCAGAGATGGCACGTTGTCCGGTGAGGGGCAGGGTGAACAGGTGCCCAGGTGTCCTCATCGCTTTGATATTAGTAACCTGCGCTTGCTGCCTCACTTTAATGAAAGTGATCCCGACACGTTTTTTTTAATTATTTGAACGTGTAGCTAGGGCTATAGATTGGCCTGATGCAGACTGCGCTCTGATGCTTCAGTGTGTTCTCACAGGAAGAGCACAGTCTGCATATTCCTCATGTCTGGAAGATAGCTCTAGCTATAGTAAAATAAAATCGGCGGTGCTTAGAGCATATGAACTGGTGCCAGAGGCCTATCGACAGCGTTTTAGGTTCTTTGAGCAAAAACAAGATCAAACATATGTGGAGATGGCGAGGGATTTGTCTGTTTGTTTTAAGCGTTGGTTAACTGCTCTTGAAATCACTACTTTTGACGATTTGTGTGAGCTCATGACTTTGGAACAGTTCAAAAATATTCTTCCTAACAAGATTGCTACTTACATAACAGAACACAGGGTCACTTCTGCGGCTGAAGCTGCTGTGGCAGCTGATGAGTTTGTGTTGCTTCATAAGAGCACGTTTGGAGGGCGCTCTGAGGCCCTAACTGTTTTTGAAGGAAGTAGAAAGGCTGTTGTTGGTTCATTTGGGATGGATCCAAGGAAATTGGGTTTGGTAAAATCTGAGGTGGATAATAATATTTGCCACTACTGTCGGGGAAAAAGGCCATTGGAAGGCAGAATGTCCTGCGCTTAGAGCAAAATCTGAGGGAGGAAGATGTTTTGTTAGGCCTGTTGCGTTGGCTGCTCCTGTGAAAAGCTGCTGTGTTGCCGATGTGCTTACATCCCACTTATGTGGATCTGAGGTTTTGGCATCTTATGCTCCATTTATACGAGACGGCTTGGTGTCGTTGGTAGGTAGCAATGTCAGAGTTCCAATCAAAATCTTGCGGGACACAGGGGCTTTTGACTCCTATATTGTTGACTCTGTTTTGCCTTTGTCTGATCAAAGTGACACTGGTGACACAGTTCTGAGTTGGGGGATGGGATTAAAAGTTCTTCCTATTCCTGTTCATAGGATATATATTGACTGTGATCTTGTTAAGGGTGAGGTGGCTGTTGGTGTACGTCCAGCTTTTCCAATCGATGGTATACAGTTCATTCTGGGCAACGGTTTGGCAGGTAGCAGAGTCTGGACTGATGTTCCCCCTGCGCTTTTAGTCACTGGCGGTCTGATTGAGTCAGGGTCTGAGGAGAGCTCTACAGGGTTGGCAGACGTCACGTCCTCTTGTGTGATCGCTCGTGCTATGGCCAAAACTATGCTTAGAAACCAGAAGACCAAGCATTGTCCCACTAGTCAAAGTGGTCGTGGCGGGGGCGTTGATGGTGGTCGTGGCGGCGGCAGCAGGGGTCGAGGAAGAGGCAAGGAAATGTTCTGCTATCGGTGTGGAGACCAAGGACACATGGCTCGTGACTGTGGGCATGCCAACGACCGGAAGTGCTACTCCTGCGGTGGGCTTGGTCACATCCAGAGACGTTGTAGTAAGGTGAAATGTTACAGCTGTGGTGACATTGGCCACGTTGCGGTGCATTGCAGTAAAGCCAGTGGAACTAACTGCTACAACTGAGGAAACACGGGCCGTGACGGTAATGTATTGTCTGTCATACTGTTTGGATAAATCGTTCTCGCTCTGCCCATTTTTTTTTAAAGTGTGCTTCTCAGGTAGCCTACCCGTGTTGCTAAAGATGTGGCTGGGTGTTGGAGGAGCGGTTGGCAGTGTGAGGGTTGTATGTTGCAATTGTTGGTTTTGTTGGAAGTGGGGTGCCTTATGTGTTGTGTTGTTTGTCATAACTGGTGTTTTTTTTGTTTTTTTTTGTCAGGCTTGGGCTTGGGGTTGGTGTGCCGGTGGTCCTGGGGACACCGACTTTAAGTGGGGGGGGTGTGACGACCCCTGCCTTTTTATCTCTTGGGTGTGTGTGTGTGTGTGTGTGTGTTCCTTTAAGGTTCTCCCTTTGGTCTATCAGCTGGGATTGAGGACACCTGGCGGCCGATACCAGAGGGTTAAAGGGCCTGAGTGAGACCTGCAACCTCTCTCCCCGCAGAGGACCTGATCTGGGAGCAGCCACGTCGCTTAGTTTTCTTTGCTTTGTTTTTGGTTTATGTTAAGTTTTTGTTAATAAATATATTTTTCATATATGTTCTCGTCCTTCCCACGCTTTTTGTTATGGCCAAGAGCCAGGCCATGACAGGATGGATACACAGACATTTTGGGGGGCGGGTGCTCAAGTGAGAAAAAGGGCACTTCCCATAATCATTTATAAAAAAATGTTTTAAAACAAAAAGTTAAATATAGTTGCACATCTCTGACTTACTGACCAATTAATTTTAATACCCTCACACTCACGCAATTGTTGAATACTCAACAGAATTCTACAAAATAATCAGCTAACACAGAGACAATGGTCTTCTTTAGTATTCACAATGCACAAGAGCAGACAACAAACTAGTAAATTAATAGTTATTAAATGAGCAGCCAACAATCAAAATTATGAAGTTACTGTTTAAGGACATTACAGGCAAAAAGATCGTTTTTTCATGTACTTGTTATTTTGGTCTATTTTGCTTCCATGTTTTCTTTCACTCTAATGGAAATAAAACTAACAAGAAACACATATAAATGGTGTTCGTTTTACTACCATGTCTGAATTCATCTATAGATTTAAAGCTAATCTGCATATTTAAACATAACATTTCAGGGGAAAATACTGACTTGACGTAAGTATCTATCTGGAGAAGTTGTGATGTGTTTTGTTTTATCCGTTTTACCTGCAATGCCTTGGTAACTGCATGCAAATTAGCGCATTTTAATTAGGCCTAGTTAATGCCTAATTTGCATATCAATGTGGCGATTGTGATGACGTTATTAGATACACATTTTACTGTATTCACTTTAAGTGTCTCCCCTTAAGTACAGTACATTAGCCTGAATGCCCATGATAAATTGCCTTGGCTAAACCTTGAGCTAACTTATCCATTAGCTAGTAGCCTACCTTAGTTAACTATGTTTGTTGTCTTTTAGCTAATTGGCTGTAAACTTGAGGCACTGGCAGTTTAGTAATTTGTTCATCACTACTCACCTTCAAAATAAGCCAAGAAAAGCCAGCATAACATGGAACAGTAAAGTGGGAGGTGCTGCTACCTGTCTGTCTAAAGCAGGGCTCTCCAACACGTCGATCGCGAGCTACCGGTAGCTCGCGGGCAGCTTTTCAGTAGCTCGCCGCTCGATTATTGATTATAGCGTAGTAAGGTTGCTTATTGATTTTTCGGCCGCGGCTGGACAATAACGTTTTTTTATTTTAGAATTTTTTCTGTCACACGAATATCAAATGGTCGGTGACGCAGAGATCAAGGAACAGACGTGACAGCAGCACAGCGACAACACACACGGAGCAGTCTGCTTTCTCCACCAACACCAGTCCAGAACTAACAGCAGAATGACCCGCTCTGAATCAGGCCCTGTCGCTGCGCGTCAGAGACACACAGGGAGGGATTTGTGTTTTTTGAAAAACACTCGTTATCGTCATGTCAGGTTTTTGGTGGATTTAATCAAGTCTTGGATTGCAGAGTATGAATGTCCTCTTGCTATTTTCAGTTGATAAATACTTGTGTAAAGTTTGTGAAGGCAGGAGGAAAGCTTCCGCGATCACCGTCTCCTCTCCGTTCCTCCAAACCCCGCCCTGAAAATAATGAGTGACAGGCTGATAGTGACCCGATAGAAACTTTATTATTCACTTAATCACTGATTGAGATATGATGAAGCTAACTTAATCTTATACATTCATGGGATTTATGTAACAGTAGAGAATGTAAGTGTGCACCCACATGCACTATTTTTGTTTTTATAATGCTATTGTAAATACTCCTGCTGTTTTCAGACTCAAGTCCTGTGTGTGATGCATTCAAGACATTCAGTGTCTTTTTTTTTAACAGAAGACTAGCTAGAAGCTGCAGCTAGACTGCAGAAGTATTAGTTTTTTGTTTTTGAGGATAGAACCATTTTCACACACAGATATAGGGAGGCTAGACCTATACAATTAATTTATTATGGTTTATAATTTAATGTCAAGACGAAGAAGAAGAAGAAAAAGATGGCTGAACAACTGTTCAGTGTCAATCCTGTGGAGATCTCCAAAATAATGTTCAGCTTAAGTCTCAGCAAAACTCACAACATTTCTGGAGCCTTGTAGACCCCGAAAACTATAGAACATTCACCAAGCAGCACTGAAAATGTCTGCTTTATTTGGTTCTGTTCTACATACCTTTGTGAAGCAGCTTTTTCTGACATGAATGAAATCTAAATACAGAACAAGACCAACTGATGAACATTTAAATGACTCTATTCTATGACTCCAGCATACACCTCTATGGTGGACTGCATGCAGTGCCATTCATCTCACTAACAAAAGAGTGAAATGCTTGTAAGGTGGTGATTAAGGACACTTATGTGAATGTTCAGTGATGTACTTATTATGTGGGCCATAATAATATGTGAGAAATCTTCGTTTTCTTGGACCTTATTTTTGATAAGCTTTAGGTATTGCAATTTCACACGTGTACAAAAGTATAGCTTAATTCAACTGATGAGGGCTATGTGAATAAATGTAAGCGATGTGATGCAAGTAGCTCTTGGCCACTTTCATTTTTTGAAAGTAGCTCTCAGATGAAGAAAGGTTGGAGACCCCTGGTCTAAAGGGACTGCCGATGTCCGCACCGCTGTGCAGGAGACGTGGAGGGAGGGAGGGAGGGAGAGCTACGGAACTGCACAGTCTAATCTCCCGACCTGATATGTTAATTTTGTATTCAATCAATATATTTTTGGAAAGGGAAACTGTGCGCAAACAGCAGTAGATATATATTCATTTATAAAAAATAAAAAGAAGGGGGAAAAAATGGCACTTTCTCTGGAGGAAGAACAAGGGCAGGGGCTCAAGCCCACTTTGTGTGCACGTGCCTGGTCAAATATGAAGAAGTTAAACTTTAAACATCCATGACTTAAACACTTTATCCAGGATAAAGCCACATAGCTGCACCTGCAAGGTGAATACTGGTAAAAGAAAAAGCGTTTGAATGCGTACATTAACAGGTTTATGATATCACTGCCCCGTCCAAGACACGAGTGGATCTGACTTTAATTACATTTGACTCGAGTGTTTCGTCAACTTAATGTGTTGCTTAAAATAATACTTCTGCATACAGTATGTGACACTGAGTGTTGCACGGCCAGATACGGCTCAAGAAGCTGACTCAAATAAGGAAATATGTGATACATGATGTGATATAATAATAATAATAGCTTGGATCTCAGCAAGTCATGTTTAAGCTTGGTTTTCTTTACCTAAACGTACATGATTGACATGTTGTTTTGTGTCTCTGTATTAGTGAAGCTGTGATTCTATGTAACTGGACATATAATACCCTTTACAATGTGTGCATAGCTCCTAAAAGAGAAACTGTCCGTATTAAGAGAAGAACAGAAGTGCTGTGTATGATGGGAATTTACAGTGATTCAATATGCATGTAGGTTTCCTGGCTACAAAATGTTCTCAGACAGAAGGGTGTCGCCCTGATAATTGTCAGGCATTGAATTATCATATGGATGTTAGGGTTTGTAATTAACATGTGGCGCTTCCCCTTCTGTCGGCCCCCCCACCCAATTTAGGACTGTAATGTGGATTGCCTTCCTTCCTGTGTCTCATCTCTATAAATGACATTGCTTTTCTGTGTAACGGGGTCAGATCCTGGTACTATCTACTAGTGCAGGAGCTCTGTCCTTTCCAGCTGGAAATATGATTGATTCTGTTGAATGCTATAACTCTTTATTAAATAACACGACTTTGGTTTAAGCTTGTATATTTGTTCTTTTCTTACCAGAAGGTGATTAAGTGTGGAATTTCCATCACACTGTGTTTCATGGGAACTGCTCTCTAAAACTCCCCCACCCAATACACCTGTGGTCTGCATCACAACTAGTCTTTCCAGTTGTTCTTCCGTTCATCATCATTCATCACTCCAAATCTTTCTTGTGCACATTAAGCATCTTTTGAATAACGTCTCTCCTGATTAGTTACATTTGGATGTCTGACTCTCTTCAGACCTGACGTTCAGCATACAAGTGGACGCGATTGTAAAGCATGCAATTTGTGAATATTTAAAAAGTAAGATCATTCCCTCTTCAAGGTTAATTGAGATGTTTAAATTCCCTATGTTTTTCTCATCTGCATTATTGTATAACACTCTTTACATGTCTGGTAAAACATTTAATTTACATACAATTTAGATAAATAGACATATTAGTACAAATAAGTATTTGCTTTTTTATGTGTTGAGTCGTTTTCACCAATGTTTCGTATTTTTATTGTTGCTTGTGTTATCTGGAGTTGACTCAAACATTGGTGAAGCACCTTTAAACCTTTACAAAAAACATCAGATCAATAAAGCTCATTTTCTTTTTTTTTTAAATTATAACTTATGGCTATTAATCCTGATGAATTAGGGGGAAAATACACACTCTTGTTTGTATTCATATTTTATTTTATTGACATGTTACAGTTACAGTCTGTACATACAGTACAAAGCCATCAGTATAAATATTCATGCAATAAACAACAAAACAGAAATTAATTAAGAACATGACAGGAAACTTAAATTACAGTATAAGATAGTCAAATATAACAAAGTAAACATTGTTAAATGAATTGTGAAGTTTTTGCTGTGAATTAAATCGTAAATAGTGGTAAAAGTGCTTAATAGTTTAATGATTGACTTATCTTTTCTATCATGAATAGTTCCTAACCGTAAACAAACTTAAAGAATGATACTTAAAACAGTTGAATGTAAATATTTAACTTACATTTCCTGGAAAAGTGGTTTCAAAGCTAAAGAAAATAATAAAAGTTCAATACATTTTCTTCATCTCCTTTAAATGCTTCACTGAAGCTACATTATTATTATTAATATGATTGTTGTACCGAGTGATATTTCCAAACTTCACGTGAAATTTCTTGGCATCCTCTTATGCTATTACGCACGTTTTAAATCTTTGGTATGGCAAACATGTTGAACAATATTGCACAACTGACTGACAGAACCTGTTATGGTGAACATGTTACATGCACACTGAATAAATCTAAGGAATGTGACTCCCTATCGGCGGTGGATGGTCTCCGGCGTCCTGTTGGCCAGAGCTGCCTTTCGGGTCATGGTGGAGCAGCGGGTTAGGATCTCGAGGAGGCACCTGGGGAACGACAGATGATGTCCTAGAAACATTGGAGCTTGCAGATTCAGACCTCTCGTCGCTGGTATCGGAGCCACGTCGGTCTAAGAGGCTGAGATCAATGTTACTGTCGCTTTGCTGAGGCGTTGCCAAAGGACTTCCTATGTCTGCTAAGTTGGATGTGGATTCGAAGTCGGAGAAGCTGATATCGGTGCTCGTGCTGCTCATGCTTCGTGCTCTGGCTTCTTCTGCATCCCTCTCCATCTGCGTCCGGGTCTCGGAGAGGACGTCCCGGAACCGGGCCTTGTGGAGACGCCCTCTGAACTGAGCTGCAGAATCACTTCGCAGACCGGTGACATCGCTGGATCGAGCTGAAGGTTCATGGAGGGGGTATAACCTGCCTTGCCATTGAATCTGGAGAGGATTACAAAAGAAAGATAATTGATTACAACTTTTGCAAACTATAATAACATCCTGATCAAGTTGAGAGAACTTCTTTAGCATTTATTTATCAAATTGCACAAAACCCCATTTCTAACTCTTTACATAGACAATAGTAGGTTTGTGATGCGTTTGCTTGAAAAGACAATAAAAGAGCATTCATAAGTGCTTCAACCAGCCTTTTTTAAATGTGCTCCGTGTTCCTATTCTCTATTGTTTGCAGTGCAGACAGATAAGATTCCATACCTGACGAGCCACCAGCCGTCGTCAGACTTCCTCAGCACCTCCACCACGGAGCCGATGGGCACAGACACCTCGTCGTGCCTCTTCGTTGTGTAACTCCTCACGGCACAGTACAGCTCAACTGGTCACAAAGAAGATAACAAGATCAGAAATGTTGCAGTACAGTTAAAGACTAGAAGAGAATAGATGTATGTTAGCTTCCATTGGTCAAAGAGCACTCCCCAGTGGTGATTCTTTATTAAAACTTGGCATCATATTATAAACTAGAGAATGCAATTCCTGAAGAAATTGCTAGTGGGAATGCTTTATGCTGAAAAGCTGACGCTAAACTGCTATGCTGAAATGTAATGTGTAAGAAGAAAGTGAAGAATTTAGATTGAAATGATACATGAACACTGGGGGCTTGAATGTGTGATGAGAAGAAAATAAAGTAAAAAGGCTTGGAAAAGCAGCAGAATATTTGAATTGCAAACTTTTGAACTAACTTGATGGTGAATGATCTGTCGCCATGCCAACAGCATTTGATGACATCCCATAATACGCTTAGATGTGTGGATGGCTGCATCGTTACCAAACCGGTGAAGTTTTGGGCTGTTTGGAGCATTTTCACTGAAGTTATGAGAAAACTGTGTTTCATGGCGAGCCTTGTGTTACCATGGCAACGGCATTTGAAGAAACCCCATAATTGACGTAGAGCTGTTGAGGGCTGTACCGGTGATATACAAGCGAAGTTTGGAGGACGATCGGACCGTCTCCATTGGACTTACAGCGACATTGTGCTTCATGGCGAGTGGTCTGTCGCCATGGCAACGGCAATTGATGACACCCCATAATACGGTTAGATGCGTTGATGGCTGCATCGTTACCAAACCTGTGAAGTTTTGGGCCATTTGGAACATTTTCACTGAAGTTATGAGAAAACCGTGTTTAATGGCGAGCATTGTGTTGCCATGGCAACGGCATTTGAAGAAATCTCAAAACTGTCTCGTAGATGTCTTCACGGCTGGACTGTTAGCACACATGTGAATTTTGAGCACTTTTTGAACATTTTCATAGGAGTTAAAAGGGACATCGTGTTTTATGGCGAGGGATGCGTTTCCATGGAAACGGCATATAGTGAGATTTCAGATTTGGCGTAGAGCTGTTGAGGCATGGACCGGTGATATACAAGTGAAGATTGGGGACGATTGGACCGTGTCCATTGGACTTACAGCGACATCGTGTTTCATGGCGAGTGGTCTGTCGCCATGGCAACGGCATTTGATGACACCCCATACTACGCTTAGATGCGTTGATGGCTGCATCATTACCAAACCTGTGAAGTTTTGGGCCGTTTGGAACATTGTGAGAGAGAGAGAGAGAGTGTGTGTGTGTGAGTAAATGAACAGTTAGAACTGACTGCTGTCAGTTGGAGTGATGACATCATCGTGTTCCATAACACAGGTGTTTATATTTGAGCCAACGAGCTCTGTAGAGATCAAAGGTTTGCATTGTTCTGAATTTGAGATAAACCTCTTACATGTGAACGTTTTGTGGAAGAACGATAACAGATATCTGTGAAATTTCAAAACGTGAAGCATGTCAAGGAAGTTGAGTATCTGAAGTGTAATTTTTGTGTACTTTCGGGTTAATAATGTGGCCTTTTTGGCCGTTTAACTAAAAGGTGTGCGGCTGCTGCTGTGAGGAAATATCTGCCTGAAATTACAATGGGCTTTAATGGAGACATGAACGTTTTTGTCACTTCATGCCCTCAAGAGGCATTGTGTTTAATTCTTTTTGCTTAATTATTTGTCATTTTTCAAGCTACGAGATGTTTTTCCTACGTTTGTCATGAAAAATGATGTCTCAAGAATGTAGGGTTTGGGAATTATGGCAGTTTAAAAAAAAATATATGAAGGCACATTTCAAGAATTCCCACACTCTAGCTGTGACATCACACACTCTAGTTAATGTTAAAATCTGAAGAAAACCTCTTTAACAAGGTCTGAACAGTAGTGGAGTACAGCGCTTCGCGATTGTCAACGGGGGGGGGGGGAGGGGGGTGGTAGTGGAGTACAGAGCTTCGTGACCGCGGAGCGTGTGAACGTTGTGATCAGCTGTTTTAGCGCAGGGCTGCTGTACAGACCGACGTTAACAGCAGCCCTGTCTGTGCACACGGAGACCGACTCTGTCGTCCGGTGATCTAACCGCCTTCTGGAAAAGCTTCACAAGTACGTCGGTACGCAAATGCGCTTTGTGACACAAGTGACGGTACGCATTTCAGATTGTTGCCGCGCATGCGTACCAGTTATGTGCACCCCTGTTTATATCAAGCCCCCAGGAAGTGCGCCGGACTCAGATGAAAATATTTGTGGTGGCCAAACGGCGGTACTACACTTCCGTTTGGTTGCCAGGCCCGGAAACACTTTTTCCCCCATTGACTTACATGGGGAAGAGTGGTCTGTAAATCGTTGGATAATTTTTTTTAAACTAAATAAACTACCCAGTATGAACACTTGTATAGCCCTTATTAAAAACATTCGTTCCTCAAGTTGTAAAAATGTGCTAATAACGTTATTCTGAGAGTTATTTCCCTCTGCATTATGAACGTGCATCTAACCCACGGGACCGCGCCGCCCGGCACATTCATGTTACGTGTTCAGCACTACATGCGTTTATCTTTACCCATGGATGCACAATAAGAACGGACCCATATCGCCTTACTGCCAGCCCACAGAGCTGATATATATAGATATAGATATATATATATAGATATATAGATAGATAGATAGATAGATATATATATATATATATATATATACATATACATATATATATACATACACACACACATATACAGTGCAATAATTCTTTCATGCTAAATGAAGCTCTGTTGCTTGGATATCACTAGATCCTGTTACAGCGCAATATAAAAGTACATAACGATTGATGTGTAAATTAGCATAATTACTAGCTAGCCGCTAGCTGCCGCCTCGTTAATATCAAATCCATCATAATAACAACCCATTACCATGCTGTCATGAACGTGCGGTGCTGTTACGTGTACGCAAATGGACGTGCTTGATGTGAACGAGCATTTTGGGGGGCATGGTTAAAGTTGCGCATGCGCTATGAGCGCACATACGGGTACTTCTCAGGCATGCCGGGTAATCTGTGACGTTTCGCTCTCTCAAAAGTTGGGCCATTTTATCATCATGCGCGAATGAGCAACTCTCATAGGAATGAATGAGGCCCCGCCTCCCACGCTGTATCCAGTTCTTATTATACATCCATGGTTTATATAGCACCTTTGAACACAAGGCATTTCAAGGTGCTTTACAAAAATGAAAGACATTCAGACAAAGGCATTTAAAAACAGTCGTTAAAAAAAGATAATAAAAGAAAAAATACATGAATAAAAAGTTACAGTGCAGTTTAAGATATGAATAGTTCACACAGAATTTCCATTTTACTGATGCCTTTCTTTAAGGTTTCTCTGAACATGAGCTGTGTACGCTTGTATGGCACATACGTCCCGAGCAGCATACACAGAGAAAACCAGCCAGGACAAAGTCCCCAGACACCGATTCCCTGGGGTTACTAGCCCCAAATGTTCATTAACCAAAAACGAAACACAACCGCTCAGTTTCAATTAAAAGCAGCGGCAAAAAGATAAGTCTTCAGCCTGGATTTAAAAGTAGTAAGAGTTGCAGTGGACCTGCAGGTTTCTGGGAGTTTGTTCCAGATATTTGGAGCATAATAACTGAACGCTGCTTTACCATGTTTAGTTCTGACTCTGGGGACAGTACAGTAGATAAAAGCATGGACAAGTTTTTCCAAATCCTGCTGTGACATTAGTCTTTTAATCCTAGAAATGTTCTTTAGGTGATAGTAGGCTGATTTAGTAATTGTTTTAATGTGTAAGATACATACATGTAAAATAGCTTAAGTTACCCAAATTGTTAAACTTTGTAATGCTCAAAGTGATTAAACTGTCAAATTGGATGAAGAAATCATTAAACAAGAATAATGTACACTTTTTGTTCTTAGAATAGGATTTCATGAAGTTTATTTTAAGCATTTTAGTGTTCTAATTGTATTTCAATTTGCATTTAGTTGCATTGTTGAGTACAACTATAACATGTACTGTATGTACATTTCAATGTTTTTCCATAAAGAAGTTATGTGTACTTGTTCAATGAGGTCATTTCTGCATATTATAAGTTGACTGAAAATGACACATACCTGCATGCTGGAATACAGTGTCTTCCTCATCCTCTCCGTCCAATAACTGCAGGTAGGGAGCAGGAAACCAAGCCAAACCCTTTGAGTCGTTCTCAACCAGCCACCAACCTGGAGAGGAAATAAAACAACCGTTAAGCATGACAGAAATACAGAAAGAGCAGCTCAAGTTTGTTTAGCTGATTTCCAGTAACCATCTACATGAAAGCTGAGGCACTGACCTGCAGGATCTTTGATCAGCACGTCCAGCGTCTCGTCCACAGCGACCTTAAACGGACGATTCTTGGAATCTTTTGTCTCGTAGGCGGCCACGCAGGAGTAAGTCTGGGTGACAAACGGGTGAGTGACGCTGCCTCTAGGCTGGTGAGAAACTTCTCCTCCTCCACAATCAGACATCAGGATCATGATGCTGTGTGAGAGAGAAATCAGTCATTTAATAATCAAGAACTAATTTAAACTCTCTTGTAATTTGATCTGAAACTCTGGTGTGAGAACTGACCTGTTCTTGGTGAAGTCTGGCAGCAGGTCGTGATCTTTGGGCATGAAGAACTGAGTCACCTCTGTGGTCCGTGTCACACTTTGATCGCACTTCAGAAGTTTCTCGCAGTAGCTCTCCAGGAACTTCATGCGTTGGATGGAGCGCTTGGATCCTTTCTTCTGGCTGCTCTTCCTGGCCTGTCCTGCAGAGAGGAGAGGAACATTTTTCAAGATTATTACCAGACTGTAAAGTGAACAGCGTCTAGTCCAAACTGTAAATGTGTTCACTGATTCATGAAGGACACAGTCATAGGGAAGGGAAACCCCCAAAGATTATTACCAGACTGGCTGAGAAATAAGGTGAATTACTATATTTATACAGCATTTTTCTTGGAAAGTACAAAATGTAATATCCATCTAATTGCTTCAAACTAAGTTAAAACAGAAGACATTAGACAATACATCAGCTACAGTAAATGTTTGCAGTGTTATTAAACTCTTGTAGTTGGCTTTTCCTCAAATTATCTGCTGCAAATGCACAATTTCTGTGTAAGGAGACTATTAAAATAGACCTTTTCTAACATACATTTGAACTATTCTTACCTCTAAATGTGGGGATAACTCTGTCATTTCTCTTGAAAATGTTCATGATAGGGAATCTCTTCTTCAGCTGCCTCTGTTTGAAAAGAAAAAAAAAACATTTATTAGTTCTACAAAATAAACACCAATCTAAGAACATGTGTGATTTCTTTAGTTTTTGGGGACTTACATGGCATTTCCTGAACTCCTGGAAGGACCTGTAAATGATCACTTCAGTGTTGTCCGACCACAACACAGAAATCACGAACATCTGTGGAGAAATACAAATAATGAAGGATGAGGGATGACATTTTTTACACAAATACAGAAAATCACACAGTTAAATCTTCAGTTAAATCACACCTGTTGTGTTAACTCACCTTGAGTTTAGGTGTGTCCCTGTGCATAGCTCCAACAATGCGAGCACTGATTACAACTCGTTGATCCCCAGCCATTGTGTGAAGTGTGTGTCTCAGCTCTGTGGATGAATATCAGCTTTATGGTCTGCAGGTGAGCTGTTTCTTCTGCTGGATCAGAGTCTGCAGCAGTACATATACCCTGCAAATAATGGAGGCGGAGTCAGAGGAAGACACACCTGAGGCAGGGAGAAAAAAGGATTGTGACGACCCCTGCCTTGTTATCTCTTGGGTGTGTGTGTGTGTGTTCCTTTAAGGTTCTCCCTTTGGTCTATCAGCTGGGATTGAGGACACCTGGCGGCCGGTACCAGAGCGTTAAAGGGCCTGAGTGAGACCTGCAACCTCTCTCCCCGCAGAGGACCTGATCTGGGAGCAGCCACGTCGCTTAGTTTTCTTTGCTTTGTTTTTGGTTTATGTTAAGTTTTTGTTAATAAATATATTTTTCATATATGTTCTCGTCCTTCCCACGCTTTTTGTTATGGCCAAGAGCCAGGCCATGAGAGATGGGGGCTCGTCCACTTCTTTTATCTGTGATACAGCAACGGATAGGTAAGATTTATGTTGGGAGTTGGTGCGCGTGTATAAAGTTTGTTGGGAGCGCGTTTGCAGTGCGGCCGGTTTCTGTGTTTCGGCTCGTTGTGGGAAGGAGCCAAGGTCGCTTTACAAGTAATAGGGCAAAAACAAACATAACAAAACAAAAGTCAGACAGACAAAACAACAGATCGATTAGGGGCCGAAAGCCTTGGCAAACAGATGGGACTTGAGGGCCCTTTTGAAGGCGTCAAGTGTGGGGATGTTGCGAATCTCCGCAGGGAGAGCGTTCCAGAGGGTGGGGGCTGCCACACTGAAGGCTCTGTCCCCGAAGGTTCGCAGTTTGGTGCGGGGGGTGGTACGCAGGCCAGAGTCTGAGGACCGCAGGTTCCGGGGTGGGGCATGTGGATGAAGGATGTCCGATAGGTACTGGGGGGCAAGGGCATGGAGGGACTTGTAGGTAAGGAGGAGGATTTTGTATGCTATGCGGGACTTGACCGGCAACCAGTGGAGGTGGATGAGGGTGGGAGTGATGTGCTGCCACGGCTTCGTGTGTGTGAGTACCCTAGCAGCACAGTTTTGGACATACTGGAGCCTGTCCAGGGTGTTGTTGGGAACCCCGAACAGGACACCATTGCAGTAGTCCAAGCGGGAGGTGACAAACGCATGCACTAGGGTTTCGGCAACCGACTCCGAGATATGATATGAATGATAATGGGACACATCGAGATCTGCACTCACAGTGCCGCGGACTGTAGGGTACTTAATGTTACTCTGATCCGGTTACTTATGTTGTGGCAGATATTTAAGTAAGCTTTCTTAACGCTAATGTTATAATAGTCAGATTGCTCTGAAGATGGGAGGTGATATTCTATTAATTGTCACGTTCACACAGTCAGTTGATTTTTGCCGGCCGTCTTTCCTGCAGTTTTTCCTCTATCCTGTAATATGACTTGATAGCTTTAAACTCCGCACACGGAGCTCTGATTGGTCAGCAGGCGGTGCTTTCACTGAGTTTACTTTTCACTGCGTTCAAAGGTTTAATTTGAGCTGCTTGGTAGTATGTTTTAAGACAGGGGAGGGCTAGGCCCCCCTTGTCTCTGGGAACCATAGGGTTTTGTACCTAACTCTTGGTTTCTTTCCCTGCCATAGGAATCTCGAAATCCACTTGTCCCATTCTATAAATGTACAGTGACTGGAACAAATAGAGCAGCCTCGGGAGAGTATTCATTTTAATTATTTCAACACGTTGGATCAAGCCCAGAAAGGGCAGCAGACTCCACCGAGCTAGATCTTTCCTAATGTTAGAAAGCAGTGGGTCATCATTTTCGGAGGTTAGGTTTGTTAGATCCCTTGGAATCTGCACACCCAGGTATTTCAAACTGTCGACCTCTCTAATGGCATATTTGTTTTTGAATTGCTGGCTGGTCCTGTACTTAAATGTTAAGAGCTGGGATTTGTAACCTGATACTGCTCCAAACTCTGACAGTGTTTGCAGCAAAACAGGAAGAGAATGGGCCGGGCGCGTCATATAGACAAGGACGTCGTCCGCGAACATCGCTATTTTGTTTTCTCCTGCCAACGAGACTCCATGTATTTGGTCATTTTGCCTTATCATTTGGCTCAGAGGCTCTATAAAGAGCGCAAACAGGAGAGGGCTTATAGGGCATCCCTGGCGGCAACCACGCTCCAATTCGATGGGTCCTGAAAGGGAGATATTTATTTGTATTCTCGCCGTTGGTTTGTTATAAAGAGCCTTGATTGTCTGTATGACATTTTTATTAAACTGAAATTTGTGCAGAGTTTTGTACAGAAATGACCATTTAACTGAGTCAAACGCTTTTTCTGCATCCAGTCCCATTATAACTGCTTCAATTTGCTCCTGGTTTATCTTGTGAACCATGTGTAAAGTACGCCTGATGTTGTCCTGAGTTTGGCGATTTTTAATGAAGCCTGTCTGGTCTAAGTGAATGATTTCAGGCAGGATTTTCTCGAGTCTTTTAGCTAGTATTGAAGCAAAAATCTTGTAATCTTGGTTCAAGAGGCTCACAGGTCGGTAATTTGAACAATCTAGCCCATCTCCTCCCTGCTTGGGCATAACAGTTATTACGCTTCGCTCCAGGAGGGGGGGGGGGTCTCCCCTGTCTGGAGCACCCAATTAAAGGCCCCAAGCAGTATTGGAGTTAGAGGCTCTTTGAACACCTTGTACCATTCAGCTGTGTATCCATCTGGCCCAGGGCTTTTGTTGATTTTGAGCCCAGCAATAGCCCTACTCAGCGCCATATAGATAGAAGAGTTACGACATCTCCGTTCACTCCAATGGACCAGTTTTTTTACAGCAATGGCGGATTGTGGAGCCCTTAATAGTATAGCCCTTATAGCCCTTAACTATTGACGATCTGCGGCCAGCAGCACAGTAGAGTTGCAGCATAATAGACCGTTCGTGATGGACTTTTAAAGGTAAGAAGACGTTTAAAGATTTATATTGCGGATATTATCAGCACATCTGAGTCAAATGAACATGTGTATTAAAGGATGTCAGTAGATTTAGGGAACGTTTAGATAACAGATTAGGCTAGGATACCGGATAAAGTTAGCAACACACGTTAACCATGAGCAGCCTATTAATCCGTTCTCCTAATGTTATTTCAATCCAACGTTGTGGAATTAGAGAAAAGGACTCCCAGGTGATGAAATTCATTGATAGCTCATGTGTAGATTAACATAGTTATAATAATAATACATGGGATTTTCATAGCGCTTTTCCTAATGCTCAAATATGCTTTACATCAAATCATAACAGAAACAATACAAAGAAAACAAAAAACATAACCAAAATAGTATGTGAACAATAAGTCACAATTAAAGGACATTCAACTGTTATATATACATATATATATACAATGTCGAGTCTACAAGCAAACATAAGAGGGCAGCAGAGTACATCTTAATCCAGCATTCACATTACTTTATTTCCATAAAAACAATGTCAGATTATATCTAAATTAATTTACTCCAGTATTGTACTTGGTGCATTATTGAGGTACTTGTTTTGCTTTCCAATTAAGACAATGACTGTAGATATTTTATTTCCTGTGATTATCAAATCAAATCAAATCAAATCAGGTTTTATTTATAAAGCACATTTAAAAGCGATTTTTGGTCGAGCCAAAGTGCTGTACATGTAATAAAAACACATTACTACAAAACACAATAAACGACAATAAATTACAACAGATATAACTTAAAAAACAAAACAAAATAAGAATAGAACACACGGAATGGTCAGATATTGTTTCTTTGCACCAAACATAAATTAAATATACATTTAAATTGAACATATTAAATGTCCCCTTGTAAAATAATAAAATAATGTCTTGTTATTCTTCTTTAAAACAGTGGGAATAATTCTGGTCACTTCTGATAGTGATGGCAGTGCACAGTGTGATATAATAAACTGCCTACATTCCTGCAAGATTGCAAAAATGTCATGCCTCTTCCTGAAGGTTGCTTGGAACTGCATCACACACACACACACACACACACACACACACACACACACACACACACACACACACACACACACACACACACACACACACACACACACACACACACACACACACACACACACACACACACCCACACACACACGCACACAGTCACATAGTCACATAGTCATATCCATAAATCTGGTTTGGGGATCTCCCAGAGCCTTTTTTCCCATCAACAGCACGTGTATGACTTGGTTTTCACCTCAGGCTTCCTTATGCCTACCTGTAAACACAATAAATCCATTCTTTGGGACGATGACTGTTCCGCCTAAAGCAAACGGAGGACTTAGTTACAGTACTGAAGGATTGATTTACTTTTACTGCGTGCCAACTGAGTGATGATGAAAGTAATATTTATTTGATTCTCAGCCCATTTTATTGATCGAGTAAGCAGAATATAATTAATGCATCTAGTAGCATAACTAACTTTGATTAAATCTCAAATAAATATTATCGGTGAAATATTACACTTGTCCTCAAATATTAAAATGACACATAAAGCACAATTATTGACACTCAAACTTTACACCGCCTTTGCAAAACACAACACACATTTCTCTACATTTGAAACACAAATCTAACATGATCTCGCAATTTTACAAATGTTTGCCTTTTCCAGGCTCATTTACAGTAAAGACTAGGATCCCGACCAGCTCTTTATCAGGTCTTATCTCTTGACTTTTGTTGTTATTCTGCACTGCATATATTAAAATGAACTTGACTAGACTTGCCTTTCAAAACGTTCCAATGAGTCAATTGATCATAGAAGGCTGTCAAGTGTACAGACACACAGTAAATATAACATGTAAGCACACGCACACACTTTAAATAGGCAACAGGTTAGTGTGTGTCTGTCCTATTGTCTCCACACATCTTTTTTTTGCAGTGATTATGTACAATATTTATAGGACGTTCTGTTCAGATTTTCAGTTCAAAACAAAATCTTTGGTAATGCATGGATTGGATGGAACAATTTAGAGTATTAGATATTTTGTATCAGTTTTCAATAATGGACTTACCTCTGTACCGCTTTCTTACAATATCTCTACAAAAACAGACAATACAAAATATTAGAAAAGTACAATTTGTTAAAA